GCCACATCTGAAGTACTGTGTTCAGTACAAGAGAGACACTGAAAACTGGAGAGAGTCCAGCAGAGTTCAGGTTACCTCTACTTCTAAATGTATAGATAGGTTAAAGTGATTTTGTACTGTTTTGGGGAAATTTTCTTTCTTTCTTTCTTCCTCTTTCTTTTTTTTTTTTTAAAAGAAAACCATGTGCAGACACATACATAAATTCTTGTGTTTCACTAAGCACGACTGTCGCGCTGCTGCGTGCTGCTGGGATGTGGTGGCAGAGGCACCACTGTTCCGTTCCATGCACTGCAGCAGCACAGCAGCGGCCAAGAAAGCAGCGCAATCCTTGCATGCACCACACGGGAAAGCTCGGCCAAGAATGCTGTGTTCAATGACGGACAATGAATATGAGAAAAGCGATCATAAACTGGAGGTTTTCAAGGAGCCGCGATATGGGATGAGGCCATCTAACTTACAGAGAAGTTAAATTCAAAAACAGTTTAGCTGAAGAGCGACAAGAAACAAGAGTAACGATCTAGCTGAAACTGAAGAGCGTAAACAATCCAATTTGCGCATAGGGCAACATCAGAATTAAGTTACCTACGTTAGAAAAGAGTAAGTGAGCAGAATAATCTTGCCAGAAAGGCCATAAATAACAAATATTAATTCAATTCTGAACACATTATTACTACCACGTAATACCTATTCCCTTAGCATTTGTCTTTACTGTTGCAAATCGTTTAAATAACTCCTTCAAACTTGACTGTGCTTGTTTGGGTCTACTCGCATTCTGTTTTGTTTTGCACTGTAATTCAATTTTTATACCTGAATATCAAGAAATAAAGGAGAGTGCAAACTCCGTAGAGAAAAACAAACTGATCACATAGTCTATAGAAAAAATAACTGGTTTATAATATGTTAACTTTTCAGGGGAATATACAGTGACTTGACTTCTCCATGGACCATTTAACACAAGCAACGATTAAACTGTTTACCCGTGCAAAAGTATCCAGCTTGTCTTTGTCATATAAGATCCTCAGCATTCCAGCACACAGTGGGCAGCAGGCACCTGTGTGATTTAAAAAAATCCCAGAAATTAAAAAAAAAAAAAATTCTTTTTACTTTAACTAAAATAGCAAATGAAAATAGCAAATCAGTATACCAGAGCAAAGTAAATCTTTCAAAATGACAGCAGAATTGCACAATTTCTAACTTTTTTCATGTTTAAAACATTGACAATGCAAAACCAGTCACCTTTTGGCAGGCACTTACTACTCTCAATGTGAAGCAACAAGATAAATTTCCAGTTATTTAAATATGATACATTACTGGAGGCTGAAAGCACAGGCACATAGTATGTTAGAAGGCAAGGTACTACATGCATGCGTGCATGTGGCAACTAGAGACATGGGGAATTTCAAAAGCTAAATAGCCAGCCAATATAAATCAATATAAATATGACACTGCAAATGTTCATTTATGCAGTTATGTCATTTTGGAACTCAGTATTTTTATATGGTAAGGAGAGAAAAACAGCCTATCTGACAGATTCTTGTTTCACACAGAAGCACGTTGTATTTCCCCTACTGCTTCCCCTCAACGTCTTAGAAACCAAAGGGCTGATATTTCAACTTTTTGCCCCGGTTGTATGTTTAATTCACACCCGCTTGACTTATTGTAAATAATTCACATTCATACGAAGACATTTACAATACTAAATATAATACCAGAGCACACAGACCCTATTTCAAATCAGTGAGCAGAACAAAAAAAAAAAACCACATGCAAACAAAGTTATCTTTGAAAAATGAGACTTCCTTGCTCTGTGTTACCTCTGATTAGTTGCTATATTTGTGAAAACAACTAAAAAAAATAGTTCAAAATAGCACAACTGCAAAACTATTCCTACTATCATCCTCTTTCACAGTACTGTAAATACAAGTGGTATCTGACTGCTATTTCTGGCCTGTCTTCTAATTAAATGTGGTCTTTGTCATCCTGGGTATTCTACTTTGAAGAGAGTTTGGCATTCCAGTGTGCTATCTGTGCTGCCAGTTCAAAAATCGTATTACTCACCCGATTCCCACCAATGTTCTACCCTCGACACTAGAGAATTCATTCATTTCTCTCAAACAAGTCCTCCGGGGACAAGCAGAAGTTTCTGAAGACTGAAGGTGCGTCATTCCTAAAGCCAAAGGCCTTTCCACTTTAGAATTACTCCGCAGAGTCCTGACACTGGCCTTGTTCTAGCCCTCAGTGATTATTTTTTGTTTTTTCTCTTAGTTGCTCAAAACTATAATGGAATAAAATATTTTAAAGCATGTAAGCTTTGTTCCAAATGTACAGTTATTTTATATAAATAGCCAGGAGAGTCTCTACTACCTGCAGTAAGCTCCAAAACTAAATTGACATACCTGGTGCAATAACCGGTTTGCAGCCAGTTGCAGAAACCAGGGGACATTTAACAAAAGCACACTCTGTATGAAAGCCATAGTCCGAGAGAACGCCTACGGCCTGACAGTGTCCGTAGTAGTCGACAGCCACGCGGTCGGAATAGGCAGCGCACACGCTGCTGTAGGTTTCCCCGTTGTGCCCACATACAGGTTCTACTGATTTGCAAAATGGCTGAAACACGCAAAAACATTTTAAAGATCAATCGATTCATGCTACAGGCAAGATTTTAGAGTAGCTGTAACATCTGGAAAAACAAATTTAATGGGAATTTGCTGCTAATATTGTTAAACATTCAAAAAGTAGGAAACTTAGTGAAATTACCTGAAAATGTATCAATAGGCAATAAGTACAAAGAATAAGTACTTAAGGAAGACAATGGAAGAATGCAAGTCCGAATCTGAGAAACATACAGTAAACCAGTCGTACTGGGAACCAACTATTTGTTCTGTGTTAATGCTTAAGTAAAATCCGTTCTGAATGCGCTTTTATCTTCTTAAAATTTAAGATGTATTGGTATGTATTTCTAACACCTTATTTTTAGAAGTTGAACGTGTAAGTTTATTCCAAGTGAATAAAATCCATTACTACAGACGTCTGACAAAAATGTTTATTGTTGTTGTATTGTCTTTACGGCTATAAAAATATTTATTGTGTTCCTTTTCTCTCATAAAAATATATCTAATGTGTCACTTGATTCCAAATACGTGCAAAGATCGCATACAATTGTAACACAGTTTCTTCCTATTCTGCCAATCTACAAACATTAGCCCAACACACAGAAGAAGTCAAGCACCAACAAACTTAAATTTCTGGACCACAGACAGAAGCAATGCAATTAGTGACTCTTCACAGACAACGTCTGATTAGTACTCTTGTCCAAATTCTTGTGAAATGCCACAGTTCATTACTTAATTTCTTGCTGGGGTTTAAGTATTTTACTAAACTAATTAATATTTCAAGTAGCTCACCTCAGATATTTAATCACTACTGTACATCCTCTAAAATAGCAAGACTGTAAGAGTTTCTGTGTTACACACCCAGGTTAACAACACAATGGAGAGAAGACAAGTAAATGTGAGCGTCACAGAGTTTCATAACTCACACAGTCCTCTCCCCTATAAAAGGAAAATTGTAAGAGTGAAAACTTAAAGCTAGCCACATCAAAGACTTCCTGAACAAGGACACAACTAGACGGATAATTGCTGGGGCAGGGGGAAGCCATACAATAGTCCTTCCCTTCTTACTATTCAAGGCTGGCACATTTGCTCAGTACCTCATGAGATATCTGATGGGCAATGAGAAGAATTATCTCTACTGAACAAGATTGCTGAAAAAAATCTTTCTGCAAGAAAGTGAAGGCATAAAGACAGAAAGGCAGAAACTAAAAGTGGGTTGAAAGAGCAATAGTATTTGTAATACAGAAAAAGCTGAAGAAGCGTTCTCTACTTGCAAGAGCATCCATCAGTTCAGCCAAAAAGGAGGTCTCAAATTCACCTTGATCATTTGAGGAAAAAAGCGGAGGTGAATAGCCTATAAACAGTAGGCCAGCAGTTTTGAAGAGTAGCTCCTAGGTGGTGTGTAAGGCAACGGAAATGGCTTACCAACACTGTAGGGGATGGTGGTGCAGAATAACTAATCTGTTTTGAGGGATCAGCATGAAGACTGATCCGATCCCGATTAGCTAAGGCAAATGCTACAGACCGCCTAGTCTCCAAAGAAACTAGAGGTGAATACAGCACAAACAAGGAGCTTGCAAAAGTCAGGGCACAATCAAACAAAAGGGTGAAGACTTTCTATGAACTTGTTGCTGCCAAGACAGCAGCGATCCCGAATCTCTAACTCCACTATTTATGCTGATAATTGGGAGAGTTATCACATAGGCAAAATTGTCCTGCCATATTCATTAATTGTGTCAAAATAAGTCTGGAGAAGTTATATTTAATGTAAAGGAGAAATGACTAGGCATTAATTTTGATTTTTAAAGAAGTTTTTTCATCTTGGTGAAAATTAACATTTAACTCTCCAAGGAACCACACTGATTACTGCAAACATACCTCAGTGGAAGCTTCAGTATAGGAAGACTTCATATAAACATCAACAGACTATTTCCCCCAAGAAAGCAGAAGGAAAGCTTTTGATTTGTTTTGAGAAAACTGTTAACTAAAGCAGAGAAACATCCAACAAAATCCTGGATACCATTTTGTGCTGGATACTTTTTTATGATACAAGTTAAAACTACACTTCTGAGGCATTACTTTCAATGAAAACATTTTGTAAGCCAGAAGACTTAGAATATGACAAAGCTGACCATTAAAGAACATTTGACATTCATTGCTATAACCACTTCATACCTGGCATGGTCCTCGGTATGATAAATTTTTTCCTTTTTGGTACAAAGTACACAAGTTACTGTATTCCACATTGTCTGTGTCACAAACAGGATCCCGTGTCTGGTCACAACTTAATTGCCTTGGCACACATTCATGCTGGCTACATTCAAACTTTCCAAAACTAGTCAAGCAAACTTGTTTCTTTGGTATGCACCTGCATAAAGTAATAATATTATCATATTAACATCACAGGATTTTTGTAAGTCTCAAAACACTCAGGAAAAATATTAACTAGTGACATCTTTCCCAGCGCCTTAGAGCTAACTATGGTCGAGGAGAGCTGCAGGAAATGCACGTGGCAGAACACGCTGCACAGCCAACTTCAGCTTCCGCTACAAACCTGGACCTTGCTCACATCCCATTTAGCCAATGTATGTGACCACAACTGAAGAGTCTAAATAAAAACTGATCTTTTATCAAGTATTTTCTATGGATTGTAGAAAAAAGTTTGGCTAAACTTACCTATTGCCAAGCTTTACTTTGTAAATATGTATTTAAGCAAAGGCAGAGAAAGAAATCAAAACAAGTGAACTGCAAGGGCAAATGGTTATATCGCAGAGGTCTAGACCAACTCTCCCTTGAGGGAGTAGTGAAAACAGGGCTTACAAGAGTATATGGTTTCAATTACAAATATCTAATTGGATTCTAGCTTTGCAGGTTCAGAGTATTATTTCACATCCTGTCTTGGGGACAACAGCAATGAAAAAAAGGAAAATCTAGTACTGTGACATAATTTCTTTTTGGGCAAGTCACCCCTCTAAAGCCTTCACAGATAAGAAGTAAAGAGCAATAAAACAGCCCTTTCCCCTTATATTAAACTTTCCCCTTTATATTAAACACAAACCTTAAATGGCCTAATCTGCAAAACATTTGCCGTATTTCCTGCAAGACATCTCTCTGCTAGTTAGAGAGATGCTAGCCAGCACAATTCGATGAACAGACTGATGACAGGTTAAACGGTTTCTATAAATGACTATAATGCTACCTGGATTACGTGCAATGTTTCCTTATTCCTTCTGAGCATTCCCATCCTATGCTTTACACATTTCCATTTTGTATTAGGGAAGACTCAGAAATTCTGAAATTTAATTGCTTTAAATGTAAGGGCAATGTAAGATCTTAAATGCATTCTAAGCACTTCAGAGACATTTAAAATGGGCTTTTTAATGTTTGGTTTATCCTGCATTATCAAAGTGACCTAGAACGACGGACTGCATACAGTCCTTCATTGAACCTGCAAGCTGAGGTTCTAGACGTAACGGTTATTCTAGAAAACTGAGATATATTCTGAATTGTAAAGTTAAAAACAGAAAAGAACGAATATCCACAGTGCAGCTTGAAAACTCATACTTTTCAATGCCTCAACTACTGTGACAGCTACAAAAAGAGAGTGTTTTCTTTGCAGTCTTCTGCCTCAAGGCACAGAAAAAGGAAAACATTGCTATCATCAGCTTTCCTGAGCACACAGTATTACACAACTTCTTGTTGTGGCCTTCTTTCAAAATAGAACACGTACAAATTCGAGAGAGACAGCAGTATTGCACAATACAGAAAAAAATTGAAGACAGAGACTAATAATCAAAGCCACACACTTCGACTTCAGTAAGAAATGTCTAATTTTCTCCTGTCGTTACTACAGTACAATATTTTTGTTTTAACATATTTGTCTGTATAGCTTTTTTTCCCTTACATGGAAAACCCATGAATTTTGAAGAGACTAGGTTTTCAAAGATATCGATCTAATTATGTAGAGAAGCTTAAGTGTTCCAGAGTGATAGATATTTCCTATCTTAGTGATTTAAAAAAAAAAAAAAAGTATAGACATTACTGACTGAACAAGCCAGACTGAATCCAAGCCTGAATTCAATTCATATGATTTTTCTTTTTTAAAGAAGAGCATATCAAACAGAGACAAAGTAATAAAGTGCCTCATCATTTACTGCCATTTCAACAAAATTCGGTTCTTCCATTTTTGAAACTATACTTCAACTCTGTCTTATTGCTAAAACTAAGACCTGCATCATGAATTTGAGCAATGTATCACTACATAAGCAGAATCAAGAGCTGGAGGACATTACAGTCCATAACTAACTACCATAAATAAAAAATCGTTTCTTCCAATATCTACTTTTACTGGAGCATCCCACAAGTAGAATGTTATTACAACATACAACACATTTAGCAAAGAAAAAGTATATCTGATTTAGGAATAGCAAATGTCAAAGAAGAACTTAAAAGATATTTTGCTTTTACCTCTGATTTTTATTACAAGGGTTGGGGTTACAAGGGTCCTTGGAGATACACGATCCAAATTCAAATTGATTGTCCTGGAGCCCAACACATCGAGCTATACAGGCGCTTGGGTAAGTGCGCCCATTCTGTCCACACACTGGCACAAATTGATCTACACAGTTACATGGCAAACCTGTAAAAGCAACACAAAACAGGAATTTGGCGCACACTTGTTTTCTGTGACAGAAAATATGCGAGGGGGCACTAAGCCAACTTTGTCCTCTAGCAAATGCAAAGATGTACCATATCGTCAACCGCTTCTCCTCCTCCTGTAATTTAGCAATACCTGTAGCATATACGTGTTTACAGGTGGTAGGAAGGGAAGCTTGGTCTGCAGCCTCCTTGCTGATTCTGCTCAGCTTTTCCCTTTTATTCCCAAAACTCCTTGTGGCACTATCCTGTCTCTACCTATTTCTCTAGCTTTACTGAGATCTAATTTCCAGCACTGATTTTTTTTTAAAAGGTATGTGTTTTCTCTGAAGTATAGGTTGAACACAGGAAAAAAAAATACTTAGAAGAATATCTTTGTAGCAAATTATCAGATATTTCCCAGGAACACTGTAGAAAGAGTTAGAAGCTAACCTTCTTTCTAAGAATAATAATCTTTAAATTTCTGTGGTTTGGAAAGTTACCTGTAAACTTCCGACGTTCATCTTCTGAACTATGCTCATTCAGGCACTGCCGTGTAGAACATATCAAGTTCCCAGCAAAACAAGAACAGACGTTACAATCTATACTAAAGGATGTTCCATGGCCTTAGAACAAAAGAAATCAAGTGCACGTATATAATTAATGCACACATACCAGAGGACTACATACTCATATGTATTACACAGATATTATACTTTCATTAATTGTTCCCCTAGTTTCCCCTGCTCAGTTTCTTTTACAACTGCAACTTCTATCTTCTATTAGATTTTGTTTTATTCAAGAAAAAGTCTGTTCTCACATGTGTTTTTGATATATTAATTAAACACAGAAGCACGCACTTCATCCTTTAAAGGCTCATTTCTTTCCCTTGTCCGTACTTTGCCAATAGGCAGAAAGTAGTAACTTTCCATTCTAGTCTTTATCATTTTGCAACATCCTTTACAGACATAATTTAAGTCACAATAAGCAGTACAAGCCACACAGACTAGTTCCATGCAGCTCTGTCTGGAGCAGGGAACAAGACAGGTTTTTGCCGAGCTGAAGAGAAACCCAGATGCAGATTAAGTACAAGAACACACACAAATATAGAGATCTCTGCCCATACACTGACTTTTAGAAAGGAGCGATGCAACTGACAGCTGCTTTTTAAGGCTAGAGAGATCTGCCTAATTTTTCCACCATGTAAAGTCAATAACTATCTGACACTTGAATCTAAGAATCAAACTGTAACCTTACGGAATTTTTCTTAAATTTAGCAATTCAAGTTTAGTTTTGTGAATCGTCAATACGGCTGTCCTTCGCTACGTTGTAAAATCAGACTATGTTGATAACAACCTGCCTATCCGTGACTCGGTCCTTAAAGACTATCAGCAAATACAATGTTCTTCAGGAAGGGCAAGAGTAACTGCACCCTAGAAAATAAGGCACTTCTCTCTAATCTCTTTCCAAAAGGTTGAGTTTAAGGATTGGAATTTCTGAAGATATTCCAGAGGCACAAGTAAAACACTGTGTCGGAGCAATCCGGAAGAAGCACTCGGAGACAAACGAAGGCTGAGCAAGAGGGAATGGGAGAGGAATGTCTCTGCAGCATAGAAAGCTCTATTTAAACCACAGGGCTACCCAAGAAAAAAGGAATTTGTCTGCAGAGAAGAAAGAAAAGTTTCCAAGATTCAGAAGTAATGTCAAATGCAGGACTGGGAATCTTGGACCTCCACTCTTCTTTCGTAAAAAGCAACTTTGGATCCACTCAACAACTTTGCAAGACTATTTGTTTCCACTATCAAAGAGAGAAGTCAGTAAGTAGTGGAACTAGAGACTGAAATTAAAAACATTAAACACAGCAAACTGATAGCCCTCTGCCTCAATATTAATTTCATACTTGGAGTCAATTCACAACATAAGATGCAAAAAAATAACGGCAACAGATAAAACATTCAGGGGTGTTCTGTTTACAGAGTGTGGTTTTAAAAACCACATTTCACATTTTATGACTAAAATCTAGCTTTTTTCAACTGCCATATAAATTGTTAATTCATTTAATATAATTAATAGTTGCAAAAAGTTCACATGGTGAGCGTAAACTGAGTTACTTGTTTTCAATGCCATCATCCAGTGAATACAGAAATTAGTCATGCTTCTTTTTTTCTTTTATTGGGCAGCAGGGATTTAATCACGACACACACCGAATGAGTAATTATGACATACTAAAGGAAGCTCTTGGTGCCTCAGCAAACAGTCAACATATATATGGGTGTGTGTATATATATATATATGTATATATATATATATATATATATTTTTTTTTAAATGGACAGCACTTATGGAATACCTACCAGCTGTACATTTTGTTGTTACAGTTACCGCCACAAATGACAGCTGTACGCTGTGCAAACATTAAAAAGCAAATATAACTTTGCAGTCCTTTTTATGACTTTATTCACAAATATTCAAAAAAAATATGGTCCATAAATGTTCCAATCTATATCCAAATAATATATTTGCCAATTGCTGTATTTAAAAAGCATGTACTTTCACCAAATACTTTACAGGACTGCCCATCAAAAATACCATTAAAATTACGATATTTTCAGCGAGATGCTTCTGTAGACAAACGCTACTAATTTTGCAACAACAAATATGTTTCAAGTATATAGAGCCAGCTTTTATCCTCTTCTGATGACTGAACAACATAGCAAGCTGTAAAATTCATGGCACATTGCAAGCAGGCTTTTGTGAATGACCAATATAATTGCACAACTGATTATTTACTTACTTGATATCTTCTAAGAGAAAGAAAATATCCCAGTTACCTACTCTTTCATGATTTCACAGTTAAGTTCACAATGAGAAAATTACATTTGTGCCAGGCGTAACTACAAGAATTGCCTTCCTTCTTAAGATTTACTTAATATAAAAAGAACTCTGTCTTATTACATGGAAAGAAAATGATTCAGTTATTTTGGACTTATTAGATATCTTTGAAGGCTTACTTCAGGGTCTGATTTCTAAACATTAAACACAATGTTCAATACTGAGATATTTTTAACTGTTCACTGATACAAAAGTTCTTGCTTGCTGCCTGATGCTAACATAGCAGCTTCAGATGGATCACAGCTCAGCACAGAGTCTGCTTTACATTCAAGACATTTTGTAAGATCTGCCCTATCTTAATAGGAGGTTAATTTTTTTTATTTCTTTCTAAAAGAGCATAGTGTTGACCTGCATGATAAAAATACACTTCCAAATCTCTTAAGAAATGAATAAATCTGATAATAAGTCAATATTGGCTTTTAAGAACCATTATGCATCAAGTCGCTTTCAACTACGCTGTCAGATTAGGAAGAACTCAATTAACACTTTTTACCTTTGCGTTTTATTTTTAAGTAGTAAAATTAAAGTTATTTTAGAAAATTATTAATTTAGATGTAACTCAAGAAATAGATAGCTAGCATTCTTTTATTGCTGAAATAAAAAGCTGTTCATCTTACTTCTACCTGGCAGAAGCAAAGCTGCATAAGATCTAGAACCACCACGCTGGGGAAAACTCTGAAGAACCACACTGTTCAACATGCCTTTATTATCATAATGTATCTGCTTATATATTCATTTTTAAGCATTTCTTAACCATGTTGGTTCATATGTCGAACTGTAATTCTTACCGATTATACAAACATCAAAACTTGCATCAAGGCTTATCACAGTACCATCACAATGTTAGAACTTAGCCTTGCCCTTCATTAATAGGCAAAACCAACTCTACCCAACAGCTCCGATATTTTAAACTTAAAAGGCACCATCTCCTTCTCCAGTTAAAAAATAATACGACCAATATACATCAAGATACAGTTCAGGTCACTTACATCAAACAAACTTCTCAAGACTAGTCATATTTTTACAAAGTTAAAACCTCAGTAGGTTTAAATAAAATGACTGTTTTAATAAATTAAAATGACTGTTCCAGAAGGACTTATTAATAATTACTGAAAGTTGTCTTGAAATAATAGTTCATTTCCCTTCACATGTCTTATGATTACAAAAATAACTATTGGTCAATACCAGGTTATCTTTCAATTTATTATAAGCTTACAGTATAAAGAATCACTGTATCATCCCTACTTCCTATTCATAGATACACTCATGATCAAACATTCAATAAGATTTTTTTTCTGAAACGCACAGGCTTTCTCATATGCTTAATAAAAATCTGGCTATGAAGGTACAACACGTTTGTACCTGTTTGCGGAACAGTCTTTTTATAACTTTTTTTCCACTTGTCAACATTCGAAGCCTTCCAGCGCAGCTATACCTCTATGCAATATAGTATTGATTATATTAGCCTAGTACAGATTTAAGAGAACACACTTGCTTTTCATAATTATCACTAGCGGAGAACTTCAAATGGACCTCAGAGTTCACAGGCAAGAATTAATAATTATCATTGCAAAGAATCATGGATAGAAGACAACGTATCATCACAGACGTTGTTAGGCTATGTGATTAAAGGCTAATCACAGGGAATACAAAGATCCAGCAAGGATCAGAGGAACGCTAGTAACCTAACAAAAGCACACTGAATTTGCTACTCCTAAGACTATCAAAGAATGGTAAGACCATCACTGCTGGTGTGAAACCCACTAACATCACTCAATAAAAGAAACTCCCTCTCCAGAATGTCATGCAGACTAACCACCATTATTGTCTAAAGGGGTTCCAGATCTATTACGGGATACCTGGGGAAGAGAATTTGGGGACTGTGTAAAATTTATTATGGGATGTTTTAAGGAGATTCTGGGAATGCACAAAACTTCTAATGGGATGTTTTAGGGAAGGACCAAAAGTGAGAAAAAGGAGGGAAAAAGATGAATCAAGCAGGAATAAGTGTGGGAAGGTATCTGGGTGGCTAGCTGTGTTAGCAGGGTGTATGTACGCACATGCCTACTGGGTGTACATGCAGTGATTACTGACTTTGTTCGCTGCTAATTCAGACAAAATTATTTTGATGAAATCAGTTTTAAGTGACTTATGTAGACAGCTGCGTATGGGGTACCAGGCAGGAGTGACAGTGAACGGCTGATGCTATGGTAGCAGGAGCTATTAAGTGCAAACACACAGAAAATAATGAGGTCCAGTAGACCAAGGATTCCAACCACTGATTTCAGCATAAGAATGTTAAAGTTCCTGAATGTTTTACAGTGGATTTACAAGAAAGATCATTAGTTCTGCAATTGCAGAATCAGTTATACTGTGCTTAAACCTCACAATTACAGCATGTTTAAAATAGATTAATTTATTTCACTATGCTTACTTCATCCCTCCTGCTTACTGGTTCCCCTCAGAACTTTTTCCCTCATCAGCTCCCACTAGCAAGTTCCTCTGCGAGGAAGGAAGCAAGGTATTTATCAAGTTATCAGAAAATATAGGGGATGTGAGGCAAGTCAGTGGCCATTTTGTGGAAAAATGGCTTGGTCAGAACAATCTACACACCAGGACTTTTATTTGGTTGAGAGAGATATAATTCAGTATTGATCTAAATAATGGAGCATAGATAAAAACTAAGTATTATAAATAGGGATGCGGACATTAACTTATGTTTCTTGACAGACTCTACATTCAGATGCCCTGCGTCTTCATATCTCATCCATGTTTAAAGAAAAGATGCTGTATGAAGATATACTTACTGTTCTAATACTTACTTTTTCTTTGTCCTCCAACAATGCATGACTTTTGGAGGTCAACACAATGCATTTCCATGCAGTTTTCTAGCAACCCACTGTGTCCACAGGTACAAATCTTGTAACAACCAACATCACCAGCTGATGACGGAACCTGAATAAGCGTACCTTGACGGACAATAAAATCTGAGGCTTCCCCCAATTTGCAACCTATATACAAAGAGAAATTTTAGTTCAGATTTAATTAATGTTTAGGCACGTACCAATGCCAAAAGTAACTACCACTGTTTGATTTGTGAAAAAGCTACAGGTATCACTAAATGCTTGAAGAAACAGACGGTATGTTTTGCAAGCAAAAGAGTTGTTGTCACTAGAAAGTAGATCTTTGTGCAAATAACAGCACTGGTTATTATAAACAGACTTGCTCTTGCGTTTCAGACAAATTCACTAATTTTGTAAAGTCAACAAGTAGCAGACATGGAAGATACTTGCTTGAGACAATGTTCTGAAGTAGTTGCAGAAATGCAGCTTCAGAGAAAAAGACTGGTAATCTTAACAATTCTCAAGTAATTTCATTTTCCACAATTCTGTATAAGACATGTTACTTACACTTCATTTTCCCCAACACAGAACCTGAAATAAAGGCTCAACGCAAAGCCCAGTTTTTCTTCTCTCTCACATCTTTCACTGTATCTTCCTACCCTACTTGCACCTATTACAAGAACACCAAAGAACTCCTTATAAAGGTATACAAAAATAGAAGAGAAAGGGAGAAGAAATAGGAAAACTAGAGAAAAAAGTATGAAAAAGAAGAAAGAAGGTCTTTAAAACTACAAAGAAGAAACAGCAAAAGAAACATGAAGTTAACATTATGCTAGAAGTAACTGCTGAACTGCAGCAAATCCCAGAAACTTTCAACCATTAAGACGACAGAAAAAACAAGTCACCATTCTACCCTCAGAGGAAGCAAACTGCCTCTTCATAAGCTCTGGGTGAGCTTGCTTTCAGATCATTTTGAATGACTTTTGCAATAAGTCAAGGCTGTTAAGAAGACAGATGAGCCAGACTCTTCTCTGTGGTGTCCAGTGACAGGATGAGACGCAATGGGCACAAATTGAAAGTCAGGAAATCCCATCTGAGCCTAAGAAAAGTGTTTTCTTACTTGTGAGGGTGACTGAGCACTGAAGTCCCCATCCTTGGAGATACCCAAAGCTCAACCAGACACAGTCCTGGGGAAATTACTGCAACTGACCTGCTCCACGAGTCCTTTCCAACCTAAACGATTCTGTGATTCTGTGAAACTACTAATCAGTCGAAGAACCCCAGGAATAAAAGAGGCTCAGAAAACCGGTGGGAGACCGCTAAGACAAATGTTCTCTGCCTCTTCCTCTAGTAAAGGACCTATTTCAAGTAGCTCAGTTTAAAAATCTCCATCTGTCTCTCTCAGGATATGCTTTCAAGCGGTCACCAAATGCAAGGTTTCTTCCTTGCCTCAAGCAACATAGATGACCCTTCATGTCATAGCATGGTATCTTTTGCTTTAAAGGAACTTAGGACTGGAAACAGAACACAGATCATCTATAGTGATTTAAATGAAGTCTGTCTTTCTGCAATGCAGTATGATGTTTCTTGTGCTCAGTAAAGTAAAATTATGCTTCTGACAATTCTGTGAAATCTTTTTAATTTTTTTAAATTATACTTGGAAAAGCTTGAAATATCAAGTTAATTTTTTAACTCATTTCAAAAGCTAAGTCCTCACTCCTGCAAATGCTGACCCGAATAATCTTTGCAAGCAAAATTACAATTAAAATTGTGACAAGCATTACAGGTGTTTAAGGTAGGACAATGAAGTGGCTGTAGAAGTTGGACATACTACAGTCTGCCACCTCTTTTTGCAGATTAAATTCTTGTCATTGTCACCATCCAAACCTGCCCTTTCAAAAGTTAGATTAATGAAACTCACTCTACATGAGGCTCTCTCTCTCTCTAATTAGGTCAGAACATAGGCCCAGTGCAGAGGTTAAACGACACCTACGCTCTAAGTAGTTCCTAAGTGGCTGTCAATGCCTTCCTAGTGAGGTGCACCTACATTAAAAGTTTCACTCAAGGAATCAGCAGCAGAAACGCTGTCAGCTATGACTGCTACATTTCCATTCTTCAGTTCTTGCAAGAGGTAGTACTGTGGGCCTCATGTAGAAGGATAAGGCAGCACGAAAAGATATGTTATTCCTGCTTATCTTTTTTCCCAAACCCAGTGTCACTCTCCCCCAAACTACAAGCCTTCAGCTTTGGGAGAGGAATGGAGCTTATCTGTCTTGCAATTCTGCCTTTTTCTCTACTCAGACAATGAACTAACAGTGCACTCAATCATTAAAGATGAAGTTTAGACATGCTGCATCAGTGCTGCAACCTCAAATACTAGAGAGAAGAAAGGAGAGGCAAATACAGTATGTTCCACGTCACTTCTTTCCCAAGTCCTAAACACAGGCACCATGAACTGAGTGAAAGGAAGAGGTTGGAGCAACAGTACAGCCCTTAAGGAAAAACTTGGGTACGAATATACTTAGACCTGCAGTAGTTACCAGTGAACTTCTGGAGACATTTTGAGAAGTTGATCTGGCCTATGAAGGAGGATTTGAGACAATTCTACATAAGATTCCATCTTGATCTTTAATATTATATCAGAATTGCTGCCAATGCAAGTGCACGTCCATTTGATCAGATTCTCAGAGCTCTCAGAATGCTGTCCCAACACTGACAGCCCAATTTGTAATAACTTCAAGGCAAGATATAATGTCCATTTATTTTACCAGTAAAGAAAATTATGAGGATATGGTTAATAATAAATGGAAATACTACTATACATGCCCTGGCATCTGCAGAAGCCGTGAGCTGCACTGTATTTGCAATGCAGTATTTTTGTAACTTTAAATAGTAGGCAGGATGCTTAGAGATCACATATGGACATTTATTTATTCTGAATCAAAATAGGTATTATATCTGATAAGATGATGTTTGTTTCAGTGGACAATAAACATAGGAACATACGGGAACCTAAACAAGTTGGAATGCTGGTTATAACTTTTGGAAAGATGAGGTAATTGTAATAATAGTTCTTTCTCTTTTGGGATATTTTCATTTTTAAAGCTTTCAACAAAGTTTCAGTAACATATATTTATCAGCAAAACTCATGTGAACACCCTTACCTGGAACACACAAATATGGAAGACACAGTTCTCCAGACTGACATCCTTTTCTATTGACTTCACATAACTGGTTAGCTGCACATGGATTTGGATTACATGGATGTGTAACATCTTCTACAATGCTACCTAAAGAACTTGGGCCTGAAAACAAAATATAGGTCATCTGTGGTGATTTACATAAGGACTATATTTCTGCAATAAAGCATGACAATTCTTGTATTCGGGAAAGTAAAATGTTTCTGACAATTCTGTGAAATCTTTATTATTTTTTAATTATACTTGTAGAAGCTTGAAATGTCAAGTTAATTTGTTAACTCATTTCAAAGGCTAAGTCCTCAGCTCTAGAAATAGTGCCTTGAATTATTTTTCACAAACAGAAATATATTTGCTCTATCTTGTTTCCTCAAGAATTTTGTCCGCATGACAAACATAAAAGAGATGATGACCAGCAGTTTAATCAAGAGAAGACCCACAATCCATTCTTAAGTGCACTGGAAGTTTAACCAAGTGTGTATTATGGATAACCTTTTAAGATAAAACTTTGCTTTTGTTTTCCTTTAACTCACTAGTAACGTTCTCTTTATACAAGATAAGGAGAAGAGAAGATAACACGGAAAAGCAGTAGCTTAATGGAAAGAAGGACCCAAAGCTTTAACGCTGTCTCACTGGGAACAAGAGGGAAAGGACATCTTTCCAATTGCTGCTGAATCAACATTAATTTAGCTGTTGAGGCATGCTTTCAGTTGTAGCTCTTTCTAACCGAATTTTACTATTTTTAAATTTTCTAGGACTTTGAGAAAGAAATACTAAAATGTAACTTGCAAGAGGGTCTAAAACTTACAGATCTTGAGAGCTAAAAAGGTCTAAATCCTACAGAGATAAATCTGCAATAGGCATATTGTGGAAAGGAATGGAAAAAGATGCATTTAACAAAATCTAGAATCAAAGTAACATTTTACCAATACAATTGTGTTCCATGTTGAGGAATAAGACCAAAGGCAATGCGCTAGAGGAACACAGAACCACAAAGACTTCTATATTCCTATTAAACCGATGTTCTACTGCCTAGTAGTTAATTTCATTCTGGACATCAAGAAATTGTGCTCTAACTCATGCTATTGTTTCAATGACATGAATTTGAGATCAGTCCTCTCAAGCACGATCCAGCTTTTGTCCTGTAAATAAAATTCTGCTCATGGTTTTACGATCGCTCAGTACTTTTTTGGAGGGTGAGATGGCATCCTGATGAATGCTATTTTTTTAAAGTAGGATTAAGTTAGTCTATTTTGAATCAGGTAAAAATATTAAAATGCAATAGGCCAGATTATCATCTGATACAGATTAGTATAGAAGCATGGACTGTATGAAGCACCAAAACCAAAAGGAACGAATGCAGTGAGATATGACAACTTGAACAAGCAATCTTCTCTAATATGCTAAACAAATACTTCTACTTCTCAAATTCAATACAATTACAGTTTTCTTTAAAAGAAATAATGCAAATGATTAAAAGCACTCATAAACATTTAAAGCATTTGGTTTCTAATTTTGTTGCATAGGTACGTTGATACTTACTCAGGTATGTATCCAAAGGGATGCAGTTCTCCAAATCATCTGTTGGAGATAAGAGCTCACAAATACTTTCAGCTGTGTGGCCTTCAGGAAATTTATTATGATCTCCACATTTCTTGAGTATTTCTACACAATCTGATCTTCAGATAAACAAACAAATAGAACTTCATGAACACTACTTAAAGAAAAAAGGTCTTGTATGAAAAAGCTTTTCACTTTCTTCCCTTCCCCAAAACCACACCTCTGGTTCTTTCCCTTCTGCCTCCCCTCACAACAAAGTGCTGATGTAGATGCTGAAGTTTACATATATGAATAGAAACAAATTTGTGCTACAAAGACAGGAACTATTGCTTACACTCCCCTTCCTTTGGACTGGTCAATCTATAGTTTCTATGGCCTCATATGGACGCATCTTGCAAGATCAAACATTTCCTTCCTTTATAAATGTCCAGTAAGAGTTGCGCTTATACCTCATTACCTGTGTTATTAATCACTCTTCTCTATCCAATCACCTACATTCAAAATTTTTATGAACTTCATATATTTCACAGATCTTTCTCTCTGCTAGCTGACAATCACCAATAGGTGAAAAACTGAAAAAGGGGGAAGAAGGTTTATAGACAGCACAGATAGCCCAAAAAAAAAAAAAATTAGCTTTACAATGGAAGCACATACATCCCTCTCATTAACAGGCAAACACCTTCAATTTATAGTGATGAAGATTCAAATAGCAGCAAATAGGAGATTCAAGTAATAGGAACTATACAAGCTCACATTCTTTCCATATTTGTCTCCTCTAATATAAACCACACACAATCCTACAGCAGCTTTTCAGTTCGCTGAAAACCCTTAGCAGAACCTCTCAACTGATTTTTTTAAGGTACTTACTTGCAGATAATACTTCCTCTAGATTTGCTGTGGCAAGGTTTAATCTGCAATGAACAGGCAATTGCCTTCCACATTTCTGGTTGACATTTTTTAATATCAAGAACAGGAATATTTATAAACGGCATCTTAATACTCCCTTTTTCCCACAGTTTCATGTCATTCATAGCTCCCTGGTCTGATTGAGTATTACAGCTCCTGAAAAGCTCAGTTGGTCTTAAAAAAAAGGAAAAGAAAAGAAAAGAAAAAAAAAGTTAAGATATGGCAGGTATACAAGGAAAAGAACTTTTACACACTTTACTTTTTACCATATGAATTCTACCGTCTTGATCCTGCTAGCCTTCTGTAGCATAAAAGGCACAAATCCCCTCCACAGTCAAGCAAGAATGAAAAATATTTGAATGTAAATAAGCTCTTTAAATCGCAAGGCTGAAATTCTGTTCTTACCTCCACCTTTTGGATCAAATATCATTTATTTATTTATTTGTTTGTTTATTTATATTTATTTATTTATTACCTGAAGAAGGTTGACTTAAAAGAAAACATTTTAAATATTAGGAACATCTTGCGTGCATGTTTTCTGGTGAATTACTAATGCAAATTTTATAATTTATTTTTGCCCAGACTGCATCTATCACATATATACGCTATTATTCATGTAAGAACAGTCACACTACTTATACTAGTTCAAGGAAAAGCCAGAGATCTCTAGTAACTAACCAGAAAAATTTCAAATGTACTTTTGAAATTCTACAACTGTTTCACTTGTAACCTTGCAACTATTAATTCAGACTGAATTTTTAAATCACCGATTTTGCCTTGGAGGGTGTAAAAACATAGAAATATTTCTAAAAGAAAAGGAATTTTGAAAAAGAGTAATTCATTATGATAAATCCTACTACTCTCAGGAAAATGTTAAATAAACATAAAAATTTGACAAGCATTTCAACCATATTTTATAATTACACAGCAATCCAGTAATCATGGCTTAATTGTTTATGCAATAAGACAGAGGAATATGCTTCTAATACAGGACGACATTTTACAAGTCCACAGGTTAATTTTTGTTCTAGGAAGCTTTGTAATGACAATTAAATACATTTCCAAACGTTTTCTAAATAGAAACTATTCATTTTAAAATTGTTATCTAAAAAAAGACTTACAGAAAGACAGTGACATACAATCTAAAAATACGTCTTTTTTTTTTTTTTTTTTAAGTCAAAGCACAGGAATTCCTTTATAAAATAATCAGTGTTTCTCTCCTACCTGTTATTAAAATTAGTGCAGTAAGTAAGATTTCTACAGCCCAGCTGACAAGGTTCTCGTACATCTGCTAAACAGGTCAACATGGAAACTTCAACTGCGTTATACTCACAAAAGCGATCAAATTCTTGCCAACTCTGTGAATTGCCCCAGCTCGTGCTATAAAGCTTAGTGCAGAGCTCTCTGAAAAAAAATATATATAAAAAAAATCAAATGAAAAGAACAGCAGTCTTTCAGATATGGTAACCGAACCTATAGTTTCTCTGCTGATCACAGCAGCCTAAAGTAACACTGCAGAAATTTGCTTTAGCACCCATAAAATCAGCCAGATTATCCAACTGCTGTGCTCAAATAACCCCACTCTACTGGCAAAATTTTCTAAATTTTCCAGTTTTAAGAATGCCGGCAAATATTTAAGCTAGTAAGACTGAAAAACTTTGCAGTATAAAACAGCAATACACAACACAAAGACATACAAAGACAAAGCTGGAGTTTGCAGGAAACCTGAACTAATGTGGTGAGAACTATCCCAGCCAATTTTATGTGTAGTAAACCAAGCTGACATGACAATGAACAAACTCTAATCCCATCCTTCAACTTCAGATCACATCTTCTCCTGCTACAGAAAAACAGCAAACAAAACCGCATTTCTTCCTTTGCCCTGATTTTTGAGGCAAATGAATTGTTTGTTGCCTGCATTTGCCTTCTTCCCCGGGTCACTTTGTTCACAGTGGCCGTGAGGCCGTTCCCAAACGAAGAGATGGAACCTCACTGTACTGTTACAGTCTATCATGTATTGAAAACGGGAAGGAAGGATCAATGTGCAGAATGGAATAAAAAAAGCAAGCAACGAAAATACGTTATACCGACTGCCCTATGCTGCAACGTTCTGTGAAATAACGTAACCTTATGACCCTCCCAGAAAACTTTTACCGTAAGATTTTGCTGTATTCCAGTTGTTTTGTTTAGGTAAACTTCAACGCAAGAGAAAGCAACAGCTCAAAGCGAACTTTTGCATTTTTATTTTCTCACATTACATGCCTTTAAAAGGCCATAATTATCACTTTTTAAAGTGAGAAGACAACCACTCAAAAAAAAAAAAAGAAATCCTATAGTTCTTTGCAAGCACGCAACTATTTGACCAAAATGAGATTTCTTTTTAACATGGGAACAGTTAGTTCCAATATTAAATTAATATATAGCCTAAGCAATCTTTCTTGGACAATCTAAACTGTATTTAGTAAAAAATACCATTACGGTTTTTAATATGCAGCAATTTTTAATATGCAGACATTTGAGACTTCATACTGTTCATTGTCCCATTAGTTCTCATTAGCATCTGGTCTTCAGCTTGTTGCAGTATTGGCTACTACCACCACAAACAGAGCACAGATCGCACTAGTTTAGTGTTTCTTTCCTCTCATGAAACGGTATTTGTTGAGATGAGAACAAAGTATTGGGCAGAATGTGACACCCATCAGATCACCTAAACCTGTTTCTTAGGTTCACAGAAGTCAATACTTGACTTACACAGCAGGAGTTGAGCAAAGGCCTGGCAGCAGGCAACTTCTGAAGCATTTTCACATTCGGAAATGAGGGAAGAAAGATACTGACCTACACGTGGAAGAATTTGCTTTAGAACAGCAATGGAGCTTAGCCCCATCAAGGCCTGTTGAAGGTGGAGGGTGCACAGTGACTCCTGGGTGAACAGATCTTGAACTCTCAAGAAAACATTGCCAAAGTGGATCCTGAGGAAGAGGCATCGTTTTACAGCCTTCTATGAGCCCGTCAACAATTTCAAGCTCTGTTTTCATTGACATTAGAATTCTTTTACAAGCAGTCTGACATGCGTAGTCCTCTGCTCTATCACAGCAATACAAACCTTTTAAAAAAAAATTTTTAAGTTAATCATGCAGCATATAGCAACTACCAAGACACATTACACAGCAGTCTTTAGAGAAAGGGGTTACCTGAACGTTTTTTAAAATAAACTCAAATAACAATGATTCTTTTGCTTCTTTTAAATGTAAATAGAATCAACTCTGAAGAAAAGCAGGAACTGATATGCAGAATTTATAAGCTGGTTATTAAAAAAATCAGCAATGCACCTATACACACCGAAATTTATCACTGCATTAATTTATATGATTATATATTTTATAGATATAAAGTAATATAATCTACACAGTAGATTTATACTATAATACAATTTATATACTAAAATTTACACAATAAAATCCTCAAGCATTGTCAGTATTTTTTTATAATTTTCATAAATGAAAGAACTTTTATACTTACTATCTGTAGGGTTTCTCATCGGATATGACTGTGTATAGTTGTTCACACAGTGTATTAGCTGAGGGCTAATAGATGCACAGTAGTTTTCAACTGCTTTAATTTGTGAAGGACCAGGAGAAGAGTCTGTTCGAAAAATTGCTTGACAATATTCCCGACAGTTTGTATGATGACCTGCGTAACTGCAACAAACCGATCCCACTGGGGAAACAAAGAACCCACAAAACAAAAACAACAGAAAACCTATGGGTTCCCATATACAGAAACAAGCATATCTGTACACCACAGGATGACGCTCAAGATATTACTGGAATAAACCACCAAATTCTTCTATGCATCATCAAAACACTCTCTGGCTACAGAAACACTGTGCCTACCTGCAACTAGCCAAAGTATGTTTTCTTGCTCAGTTGGAGAAGAAAAGACCCAAAACCTTGTCTTGAAATCAACGTTCAAGTCACCAGCAAGCCAGCCAAATTTTATCTTCAGCCGTTTTGTTTTTATTTATTTTAAGGTAACTAGACTTCATTCTTATTTAATTATCAGACAAAAATTAACAGTAAACAAATAAATATGGACACCGTATCCAAAAACTTTTTCAAAAGATCGAGTATCATTCTGATTCATCCACTTTTGTCATGTTATTAAACAGTTCTTGAGAAATATTTTTACTAGACTTCATTCGGAGACACGCTCATCTCTTTTCTACAGAGAGACATCAACCAACAGAACACCTGCGTGGTGCAAACCTTCCTCTGCGCCTTCCTAAATTTTTTCCTTAAAATTCATCAAAAATGAGCTAATCAATTACTGAATCATAAAACAAATAGCAAGAGATAAATTAAATATTTATATAAATTATATAGGCAGTCCAATTCTCCTATTGCTTGAGCAAGTACATTTATGCGTGTGGTTAATCCTTGTATGGAACTAAACTCATGGGATTTTTAAACACAGGCCTACAGAATTTCTTAAATGTTAGAGAGGAAAGTTATAAAGAAGGATCTGAAGGAAAACAATAGAGAGAAACTACTTAGTATATACTTACTTTCATTTCTGTTAATACAACTAAAGAGAGCATTCTGAAAACAAAACAAAAATACGGTTACAAGTAAGAAAACTTCAAATGCATATTCAAGTGTAATCATTTCTTATTATTAGCCAATTAATTCAATTGTGTTATTGCTCTAATTTGGTCTAAACTAGAACAAGTAAAAACACTGTATAAAAATAGCGAGAACAGGAAATGAAAATTCCGCTTGCACTCCTAATGGAATACAGAAATATTCAACCAACTAAATAGGAAGATTTTTCCGGACTACATCAGAAAGGATACCCTGGAATACGATGGAACAGAATGTTTTACTGCTTATTATTATTTTAAAGAATCTACGTGGGAAAGAAAACCTTAAGACACTCAGCAACAACACGGCTTACAAGCTAAAGGCGAGCACTGAGATGCACGGTGATTTTGTATGCTTTTCTCGAAGATAAATTGGAGCAAGCTGCCAATTTGCACTCCAGGGCTGGACTTCTAAGCGCTGTGTAGTTTGATCACAACATGCATCACGCTAGAAACGCAGCCTTACAGCTGTGAATCACCCTGCGATCAGCGTTTGCAGTACTTCTGAGTACTGACAGCAATTACACTACAGAGTGCAAACCTGCCACAATCATCTCACTGATGATAACTCCGAAATAAACAACATCACTGGCCAAATTCTTGCCACATCGAGAGAAAGTCTGGCTTCCTTTCCGCCCCTATTAGCGCTCATGAGTTCAGCTTAATGCAAGTGTTGCAGCCAGCAGGATTTCTTCAAAAGCAGCAGCTCAATTCCTGATGTGACAGCAAAAGAACAAGACACAGTCACTGGAGATTTTTTTTCCACTGACCTAATCTTGCTCTTGTATTGTCATGTAAGGCATTAACTTTTGATTTCTGATAAAATCGGCTTAGCTTTAGATGAATCAACAGTAAGCTTTCAGGACTGTTTTCATCTGTACAAGTTGGGTGCCTAAATTCTTCTCACAGAGGAAAGAGTAGCAAGACTGTTTTTATACACTTACGCACTGATCTTATTTGCCACCTTAGGGACTTAAGTTACCAGAAAGGAAGTAATTTTTAAATATCTGGAATTTCTCATGTGCTGCTTCCTTTCTTAACTCTCTTATTGAAAAACAAGAAATATCTACATTAACTCTTCTGGGCTCGTGCTAGCAACAATGTAGCATTGCATGAAAAGACCTCCAAGAAAATACGCATCAGTTTAAAAATGTCTTTTGCTAAATTATTGTAACAAAACTTAAAATTAGATGCCAGATATTTTAAATGAAAAGTAAATCCTTTGCCGAGATCTGACCTCTGTAGTTAAAGGTATTTTGAAATTACAAAGCAAAGCAAGCTTTGCTTCACAAAAATGACAAAACTAGCACCAAGCCTGTGTTCTTTCAACAACAAAGGATACGAAAGGAATCAGCTCTTTACAGTAAAAAACACAGACTTCTTCGGTTAAAATGCATATATTTCCACATCCTGATGCACAGGAGAATCAACTGTAAGACACTGAAGTGAAGCAGACTAAGGGAGACGCACAGACCTCAAGAACTAGCCAGTGTACATACACGTGCAAGTCAGAGCATAAGTGCAAGCATGCACACACACCTTTGCACCCAGAAAGGTGCAGGAAAGGGAAACAAAAAGGAATATTTATTAATGAAGGACATTAGCTAAGTCCAGAATGTATTCTTCATTTCTGAAAGGAGAGTTTTATGAAGTCGATTAAATTATAGACAAATCAAACGCTGCCTGAAGCATGCCATCCACAACACCCTCAAACTGCAGCAGCCAAAAGGTACAGTTGGGGGATATACAACATTTTAACCTACAAAAGAAGGGGCAGGACACACATCCAATTGGTTTGCTTCAGAGGACTCTAAATTAACCTAGAGACAATTCAAAAAGGTCTACACTCTGAATTCCTGCCCAAAACAACCGCCTTGCTTTCCTACACTAAAACGTAGATCTCTTCTCAAAAAAAGAGATACTGCCTATAAGTTTTCTGAAACTCAGTGACAGGATGAAGCGCTAAGTCTGAAATTTAAAAATATAGTTGCCAATTATCAGACTTCAAAATTACAGGATTATGATAGAACAGAGAAAGCTGAACCCTCCCCACACCTTGTTAGAATACTAAGCATGATTATCAAAAATGATTAACAGAGACAAAACACACAACCACTTTCTTCATAAAAAGTTCTTCATAAAGTTCCTGATCTCCTCTACTTCCCCTACCATCATCATCATTAAATGAATTTGTATTTTACGCAGCACCTAGACAAGAAAACAGAAACACATAAAACAATCCGCAAACCTAGCGCGGGATTAAAATCTTGTTTCAGTATAGCAAAAATATCAGATGTGCTGCAGCCTCTCAACAAAAGAATGAGGAGACCTCACTCAAAGGCAGGATTTTAAACAGGACAGACCCAAACATCGAATCTTATACTGAGCAGCATCACAGTCTTCTATACACGGTTAGAAATGCATTTACTGGATAAACCATGGCAGATATGGCTTTGAGGAGGCTTATCCTAAGAGGATAAACACAAATCTAACCTGACAATGCAAGTTAATTATCTATGAACATCAGCTACTTTTCATTTTAGTGATACGGAATAAAAACACAGGTCCACTGAGACATTTCTTTCAAACCATACAAGAATTCAAAAGGCTGCCTTATGGAAAACAACGGCCCAACAACTTGCAAAGTAACAAACTTAGATATTTTCGAATACTGAATTTTACATCTTTACTCCCAAGAACACAGCAGCAGCTCCTATGACCTCTGTGTTATTTTAAACCACAGATACTGCAGAATTTCCCTGAGCCTACGAATGAGCTTGCAGCAACATTCCTCAAGCTTTCATCTGATTCATTTCAGATTTTACCTCTTCACTTCCCACAAAGCAAATCCTGTCATCCACTCATCTGTGTAGCAGGGATAAGGAAAAAGGGAACTTACAGGAAATAGAAGATTTAGACAGAATCACCATCCTACACTTGTAAAGGACAGATTTATACTGTTGCCTAAAGGCTCAGGCGACTTTCACATGATGCTTCCCTTCTGTATGGATGCCAGACAATGGGTCACCAGATAACCACTGTTTCAACAGGGCCGTCCAGTTCCTTTGGGACCTTTGGTGTATCAAAAAAGGCAGAACCGTCAGATAGGAACTGCCATTAGCACCATCTCTGTGATCTAAAACTGACTGTCCTCCGAAGCCGCTGAGACTAGACTCCTCCCCACCCAACCTGCGTCAAGCCTTGAGAGGTGGTGTCCAAACCAGGCAGGTACAAAGCAACACCGTTCCTCTACTTTTATTAATGCACTGTGACAGTACAGGCTGCTGAAAAGGCTGAACTCTGTCCGTCGCGGTTATAACCGAGTATTAAACACACTGTCAGTCAACATAAGCAATAATTAGAATCACGGAGTGAAGTTGCTTTAAACTCAGCTAAAAATTTTCACAGGGGAGTTATTAAAAAGTCGGTTAGGAATAACAATTTGCAAACAAGTCACCGGCCCTGTTGGCTCCGACTGCAGTTTGCAAGTACACACAAAAATAGCCAAAAATATTGGGAAAATTATGTTGCCTACCAGCGTTCATCCTCTGAAAAAAAGGCTCAAGTTGGGGCAAGGTTATCTTCCTGTAAAATTTGATACACCTTTTTAGTGAAACAAAGTGAATCCTCTAACCAGGTACACAATCTTTCTCTTGCTGTACTTTGAAACTGCAGTTGCATGCACTGCTGAATCACTGTCACTATCAAGAGGAAGCGGTCTTGTTTTTAGCTCTTCTCTCCTCTCCCCACTTCTTCTATACTATTGCAGGTGTCCTCACACCAGCTCTGGTAATAGTCATCTTTCCATGACCTGATTGTTCTGAGTGACCCTGCAGAAAATGGTCCTTTTTTCTCTTGTGCTAGGAATTTTAAACATCTCAGAGAAGGACCTACCAGATGCCAGAGCCAGAATAAGGTAAGCGGAAGTGTATTTGTATGGGCAGCGGTGGGAGAGGATGTGTGTGGAAAAAGGGATGTTGTGGGAGGCTGCAGGAACAAATTTTTCAGCAGTACTGTGGTGTTAAAGCAGCTCCCCACGTCTCACGGAACTGCAGCCTGTAGCCATCAGAGAACACAGTGCTAGTTAAGGTGCTGACTTTGCTCTTCGTGTAGGCCTGGACAACCGTTCAGTTTCCCAGAAAGTACAAGCTATGCAGACCTGAGGGAATCTTAGGAAAAATAGTATGTAGTCATTTAAAATATTTGTCGAATTAAGCTGATAACAGCTTTAGACAGGCCTAGTCTGACGTATGTGATCAAAACCACAACTTCATTACCGAACACACGGTTAATCTCCTTCAGTCAAGTCACGTTCATATTTAAGATACTAGCAGCTTTTCTGCCCATTCAAGCTTTCTTCTGAATCTGCTACCTAATATTGCCAAACATCCCTTGAAACAGTGCACTGTGAGAACAGAAAGACAAAGACTGGAAACAAAGCAAAAGACAAAATAGAGGGGGAAAAAAAAGAAATAGGAAAGGAAGTTCTGCTTAGAGGAGTAACAAAATCATCAAGATCTGGGAAAACTCAGATAAAAGCAATAGTATAAACACAGACACATTCCATTTTCAATTCTTGAATAAAATACCAAGTGAACAAAGATGGCAATATTAAAATTTAAAGAACACAAACATAGAATGATTTGTTTTACTTGTGCATTAATCTCCTCATCTTTCAGACTTCTCTCTTGTTACTAAATGTTGTTGAAAGCAGTCATTAAAATTACTAAGATTATAAATAGGAGGAAGAAAAAGAGGAAGGCAGACAGAGGCAACACAGGTGTTTATGCCTTAAGAAAACAGTCTCAAAGATCTTTTGGTGTTATGGAAACTGAAAAAGACAAATTACAATTTATCCGACATAGAATATTTTTCAGATGCTCCTGAAGCAAGATTTTAGCCAGTACTGCAGGACCTAACTGGTTTCGCTCTTTTTGGAGCTCATCAGCTGCAGGTAACGGCTCAAAAACCAAAATGCACACCCACAAACATACAGAGCAAAGCATTTTGCTAAAGGAAGAAGAAGTCTTTTCCACCACATGACGTGTTTTTGTATTATAAGCACATTTTTTCTTAACTGCTGCCTTTTGTACCTTGAATGAAACAAAACAGCAATGAAGTTATATTTTCACATCAGAAAATAAGAGAATTTTGCTAAAAATCACAGCTTCATTTTCCTCCTACAATATCTGCATTATGTTAGCTCTGGTGGAAAAATAAATTTAGTATTACTGCCTTGGGGAAATTAGCCATGTTAAAACTATCTGAACACAGATCCTATCCAATCAAGGCTATCTGAAAATAAAAATACTAACTACGATTACAAACTCTAGAAAATGAAATGCTTCACTCTATGAAAAAAGCAATAAAAATCCTGTTCATCTCTCCTTGACTTCATTTCACCTTAGAATTTATCAACAGAAGCTGAAGCCACAAAACATACTAAGGTTTCATGGAGTCAACTGAAATTTTAAATGATGGTGCACATCTGTGTAGAACTCAGAAAACACGCAAAAAATAACAATTAAGGCCAAGATTTTCCTCAATGACGTAAAACAGTGAAGAACTGAACACGCTTTCAGAAATGCACAGCAAGGTAAAAAAAAAAAAAAAATAGAACTTAAATTTCAGTAAGATCCACGTGCTTTCTACCAACTTTCTCTGAATGGCAAAAAACAGACCAAAAGTGGCAGAAGAGAACAACAGATAACAATATTAACTAGAACGTGTAGGTCAGTCTGCCCCAAATACTTAAGTAGTACATCCCAAGGCCACACACAGGCATGTGCTTCAGGAGTTCATTAAAACATTTTGGGAACCTTTTCCTACGCTACATTCTAAACAGCTCCTTGAGGTATTATTTATTGTCTCTGAGTAATCGGCACAACTAGGTAAGAGCCAAAAACTGCTGACTGCATTTTACAGAAGGGGTAATTAGTAGGCAGCATTCACTAAAACCTCAGCCTGAAGCAGGATCATACGACCCTAGAACGTTAAACAAGCCAATACTACAGCACAGTGAATACTTTTCTGCATACTTATTGGAGCACTTGAAACTGCAGGCACTGCATTTGAAGTTTCTGAATTTAAAAATTGTAGGAAAACAAAAAAGTCAGATTAAGTTAAACACTGTTCAAATCCGTGAGAATAAAAATATCTTTTAATAGCGTAAGGACATCAGAAGTGTTCAATATTGTGTGTCAAAAATAGTTTTAGGACCAAAAATAGTTTTGTTTTTAGTTTTAGGGAAGAACAGGGAGCATTTCCACTTACGTTTCATCCACGTGGCAGCAGATGTTATACTGCTCAGCTGCAGAAAATCTCTAAGGCCAATTAACTGGAGAAGTTTGAACAACGGCTTGTTTAGAACACAGGAGGCGAAAAGAAATAAGAACGGGATTTCCAAACGTGCAGAGAGGGGAATTCTCAGCACGCAGCGCGGACTTGGAGCTGCACCTGTAACGCGAACGCTAGCACTGCCCTCGCCACACGCAAAGGACAGTGATCTTAAAAACCACAGTAAAGCCCTCAAAGCTTATTTTGAGTGTTATAAACGAGTTTCAGTTACTTCGCCAAGCATGTATTCCATGCAGTTTTTTCAAAACGAACCTCAACTTCATACAAAGCTTTTAAAAATGGTAAAAACCAGAAAACCCTACATACAGTCTCCACATCTTTTTTCCTTCTTCCTTTGACTATTACCTACCTGCTTTTTAGAGGAAGATGAACAGGATAGTAGAAAGCTGGAAGAAGCAGTGAAAGATAAAAGAGATGAGATACATACAACCAGACAGAAAATGAAAAGAAGACACAAAACAAATATCTGAGAAGCAGAGGAGGAAAAGAGACCCCCCCCCCCATGAAATCTTTCAAAAGGAGCTGATGAATATACATTTCAGTAACATTTTTAAATATTCAGACAGTTATGTTAAAAATTTTAAATTAATGTATACAGTGCTACTTGAAAAAAATAATAGGGCATCACTTAAAAGTCTTCAGTGCACAGATCAAAAATGAATAGCTCCTTACTCCATGATCTACTTATAAGATGTCCAAATGACAAGAATTACAAGCTACGTTTAAAGTAAAACTAATCCAGAAACAGATGATCAAGAGAAAGAGAATCTTCAGTTAATCTCGTGAAAAGCTGGATCATCAGTGCTAAACTGATCCTGCTATCATACAACCTGCAACTCTGCTTAGCAACCTCAAGCCTTATGTCATCTTCTCTTTCGGGTTGTTCTGCCGCTCTGAACACCATGCCCTATTCTCAAAGACTTACTGTAGACTTCATGCTCACTTGTGGGAAGCTGAAAGGCTAACAACTCATGAAGTTGCTTCTCTCATCTCAAAACGCTGCCGAAAAGTACTCAACACAGTTCAGTTAACTATCATAAGCTATGAAAATCAGTAAGCTATGAGAACATTTTAGAAAAGGGAACTACATTTTTACATTTTTAATTCAGCTAGCTTTTACTTATTCATCATATACTGAAACATACAGTGCCTCAGGAACAGACTTGAAATCGATGAACAAGCACCAAAATCGGTACTGTAAACTAATTCCCAAATTGGATCCGCATTTTTCAGTGAACAAAGTATGAATTCTTAAACACAAGGCAAACATAGCCAGTATAAAATTGCATTTATGTGCTTTACAGGTAGCGTCCGATAGTCAGCTGGTTCAGTTTCAACTAGCCCCTCCCTTCCCAGTGGTCCAGCTTCTTCCCCAGTCAACCCAACTGATTTCAAAGCGTGGTACCAGCCACAGACACGGAAGCTACTTGTAGACCACATAAGAAGCAGGACATAATCACCAGGGCACCAATAAAAAAATGTTTAAATAAAAAGGAGGAAAAATGAGTAGAGTGTGAAACAGTACAGATTCCTACCAGAAGCAGTTTCTGGACTCTCACATCTTAGGCACAGCTTCCTTGAATTTTACACATGCAATGAGTCTCTTGAGAGCGCAGAAATTACCTTTTTCTATGAGTACTAGTAAGCCTGGATATTTAGGCAAATCCTTTTTCATACAAAAATCTCCAGGAACTGAAGATCTAACACGTCAGCTATTTCATTTTGGTCCCTAACACAATATCCCTATCTATACTTGTAATCCTCCTAAACCACAAAACAAAACAAACAAAAACCTCCCAAAACTCTCTCCTCCTTTTCTATTTGAAAGACTGATTTCTTCTTTCATCATTTAAGAATAGCTCCCTCTCCTCTTTAAATGTGTTGCCCATACACAGAATTAAGGTTTTTCTGTCCAAAAACAGCAAGATCACTCTTGAGTAAGAGTGAAGGACCCACTTTTCAAAACTGCAGACAAAAACTGGAAAAAGAAGAGCTGGGAAAAGTAAATAAGGTGGCTATCACCATTTTGTAGGCATTCTTTAATTTCTTACCTTTCCTTTCCCGTTCTCCTTCAACACATATTGGTCAACCTCCTACAGCAATGCAGAAATCCAGAAAAAAAGAAGGAAACATACCAGCATAATAGAGGAAAAGATTACAGATGTGGACAGCATAGCATACCATAGCATGAGAGGAGAAAGAACTACTTAAAATGAAAGTTCATTTTCAAGAGAACAAACTATAGTCACTTCAACAACGAAGAGTTCAGGAAAACATTCCTTACATTCTTTGGATAAAGGAATCAAAGAGAGAAAAAAATAGTTTAATTAATGTTTCCCGGAAATAGGAAACATACTACATTTCTGCCCAAATCAAAGAACACAGATTTTCCTGATATCCTGCACTGCTGATTATGAGCAGAATTTGTGCAGGATTATCTAACTCGGGGCAAAAGGTAGGAGTAAAGGAGATGAAAGAGGGGAGGAGGGATCTGGATTTTAATTAAGAAACCTTTTGAAAGGAAAGAGAGTCCTAGCAGAATAGCATTTCTTCAATGTGTTTCCGTTAAAAAGAATATTGATGAAGGCAGACTTCTGAAAATATCCTCATGATTAATTTTAAGAGCAGAACACCAACTACTAGAATATATAGTTCCACTACAGTTAATAAAAAGTATTAATTCTAAATAATTTATATTAAATAGGCTACTTAAAAGATTCTCTTTTGCGTTAATTTCTTTAGGTCAATTTAAAGCTGAATCTCCTATTACACAAGCTGAAATGTTTCTGACAGAATGAGCGCTCAGAGTGAATGCCTACTTCGTGCAGACGAGTTCCTATGAAACAAACTATTTCACAATCCACGTCTCCGTTTTAAAAGTTGCATCTTTTTCATTCAAATTAAGATGTATGCAAGTCTGTAAAAAAGGTAAGTCTAATAATTGGATGTTTACGAAACCGTAGAGAGAGATAACTTACTTCTGAATGGAAATGAGTATATCCAAAAATACTACTTTAAGAACACTGATCCTTCCCTCCCCTTCTATGCAATACATTTACAGAATTTATAAAAGAGCTGATTTTTAATAAGATACACACACATACCTCATATTCTTTTCTGCAAACTTTTAAAACGTCATTCTTTGAAGAAGCCTGAAAAATAAATTTCTTCATTTGTAGTAGAAAGTGAAAATAAAATCACGTTGCAAAATAAAAAATATTTGACCTTTGTATTAACTGGGACAACCATTAATCCATAATCCATATAAATCTTCCTTTTAAATAATCTAAAGAATCCATTTAAAGCTTAAGAAAAAGTAGAAACTGCAGCTTTGTCACTACTCAGTTTCATTAAAAAGCAAACAAATCTCATATTTGTGCATCAAGTTAGTTGAAATTAAAGGCACATACAAAGCAAAGCTGTTTTCATCAAATGTTTACCAGATAGAGTAGAACACTGAAAAAATTTAGCAAATAAAAGAGCTTGAGCATAACATGAGGTCCTCCACTTTGGCTTGCTCAAAAGAATTGTTTTGTTCTTGTCTCCCTCTTGCACATACGCTTACTTCTACAGTTAACGAAATTTGCAGAAATTCTCCCCTCAAAGTAAAGATCTGCTCCTTATTTGCTCTGTAGGTGCAGCACCTGTCACTCCTTTTTCATAGGACAGATATTCAGAATTACATTACATCAGCTATCTCCCCCCAACATTAATTTAAAATTATTATTATTACCTAACCTCAACCATTCTGTGATTCTGTGAAAATATCAGGGTAAAGTCTGACCTCGGGCCTATCATACCATATTCACAGAATCACAGAATGGCCAAGGTTGGAAGGCACCTCCGGAGATCATCGAGTCCAACCCCCCAGCTCGAGCAGGGTCATCTGGAGCGCATTGCACAGGATCGCCGCCAGGCGGGGTTTGAATACCCTCAGCGAAGGGGACCCCAGAGACTCCACAGCCTCTCTGGGCAACCTGCTCCAGGGCTCTGTTACTCCCCTCGCAGTGAAGAAGTTTTTCCTCATGTTCAGAGGGAACTGCCTGTGCTTCAGTTTGTGCCCGTTGCCTCTTGTCCTGCTGCTGGGCACCACGGAGAAGAGGATGGGCCAGACTATTTACACCCTCCCTTCAGGTACTTATATGCGTTGATCAGATCCCCTCTCAGCCTTCTCTTCTCCACACCAAACAGGTTCAGCTCTCTCAGCCTTTCCCCACAGGAGAGATGCTCCAGGCCCCTCATCATCTTTGTAGCCCTTCACTTGGACTTCCCTATCTCTCTTGTCCTGGGGAGCCCACAATTGGATGCAGTAGGCCAGGGGAGGCCTCCCCAGGGCTGAGGAGACGGGCAGGATCACCTCCCTCCACCTGCTGGCAACACTCTTCCTCATGCAGCCCAGGACACCATTGGCCTTCTCGGCCACAAGGCTCTATTGCTGGCTCACGCTCAACTTGTTGTCCACCAGCACTCCCAGGTCCTTCTCTGTGCAGCTGCTTCCCAGCAGGTCAGCCCCCAGCCTGTACTGCTGCATGGGTTATTCCTCCCTAGGGGCAGGACCCTGCGCTTGCCTTTGTTGAACTTCAGGAGGTTCCTCTCCGCCCAGCTCTCCAGCCTGTCCAGGTCCCTCGGAATGGCAGCACAGCCCTCTGGTGCATTGGCCACGCCTCCCGGGTTTGGATCATCAGCACACTTGCTGAGGGGGCACTCTCTCCCTTCAGCCAAGTCATTGATGAGAAAGCTGAACAGGACCGCACCCAGTATTGACCCCGGGGGACACCACTACCCACAGACCTCCAACTAGACTTTGTGCCACTGACCACCACCCTCTGAGCTCGGCCATTCAGCCAGTCTTCAGTCCACCTCACTGTCTGCTCCTCTAGCCGTCGCTTCCTGAGTTTGCCTGTGAGGATGTGATGGGAGACAGTGTCAAAAGCCTTGGGAAGCCAGGAGAGAGAACCTCCACTGCTCTCCCCTCATCTACCCAGCTAGTCATTCCATCAGAGAAGGCTGTCAGGTTGGTCAAGCATGATATCCCCTTGGTGAATCCATGCTGACTTCCTCCATGATCACCTTCTTGCCCTTCATGTGCTTGGAGATGGTGTCCACGAAGAGCTGTTCCCTCACCTTTCCAGGGATGGAAGTGAGGCTGACAGGTCTGTAGTTCCCTGGGTCCTTCTTCTTGCCCTTTTCAAAGTCAGCAGAGGCATTTACTTTCCTGCAGTTCTCAGGCACCTTTCCTGATCTGCATGACCTTTCAAAAATGACTGAGTGTGACCTTGGAAGGACATCACTCAGCTCCCTCAGGACTTGTGGGTGTATATCCCATTAGGGATCATAGACTTGTGGGAGTCAATTTGCCTAAAGGATCCCTAAACCCAATCCTCTTCCACCAAGTCAGCAGAGGCATTTACTTTCCTGCAGTTCTCAGGCACCTTTCCTGATCTGCATGACCTTTCAAAAATGACTGAGTGTGACCTTGGAAGGACATCACTCAGCTCCCTCAGGACTTGTGGGTGTATATCCCATTAGGGATCATAGACTTGTGGGAGTCAATTTGCCTAAAGGATCCCTAAACCCAATCCTCTTCCACCAAGGATAAGTCTTCCTTTCTTCAGACTTTCTCCCTGATCTCCAGGGCCTGGGATTCCTCAGGGCTGATTGTACCAGTAAAGACTGAGCCAGAGAAGGCATTCAGTACCTCTGTCTTTTCTGTGTCCTTTGTTACCAGGGCTCCTGCCTCATTCAGTAGTGGGCCCACATTTCCCCTAGTCTTCTTTATGTATTTATAAAAGCCCTTCTTGTTGTCCTGCCTGTCCCTTGCCAGATTAAACTCCAGATGGGACTCAATCTTCCTAGCCCCATCCCTGTATACTTGGGCAACATCCCTATATTCTTCCCAGGTCACCTGTCCCTGCTTCCACTGTTTGTATACTTCCTTCCTCTGTTTGAGTTTTGCCAGGAGCTACTTGTTCATCCATGCAAGTCTCCTGCCATCTTTGCTCGACTTCTTGTTCACTGACATGCACTGTTCTTGAGCTGGGAGGAGCTAATTCTTGAATATCAACCAGCTTTCTTGGACCTCTCTTCCTTCTAGGGATCCTCTATCCCATAGGATTCTTCCAAGACCCTGAAGAGGCCAAAGTCTGTTCTCCTCTAGTCCAGGGAGAGTCCTGCTCCCTGCTCACAGGATCCTGAACTCATGGTCGCTGCAGCCAAGGTTCACACCCCCAACTAGCCCTTCCTTGTTTGTAAGTATGAGGTCCAGCAGAGCACTTCTCCTTGTTTGCTCCTTTATTACATGCATCAGGAAGTTGTCACTGATGCTCTCCAGTGCCCTGGACCAGGGCTTGTGCCCTGCTGCGTTGTCCCTCCAGCAGATACTGGGGTGGTTGAAGTCCCCCATGAGGACCAGGGCCTGCGAATGTGAGGCTACTTCCAGCTGTCCGTAGAAGGCCTCATCTACCCATTCTTCCAAAGAAATTCCTCAAAGTGCCAGCAAAAAAGCCCTTCAAGTTTCAAAAACCAAAATTAAAATCCAAATATTTCCACATTATCCCTGATGTTTGGCAAATATGAGTACTTTATTTTAAATGAAAGATACAAAGTGTATCAACCAGAATCAGGTACAAGTACAAAATATACCCAAGACAGTGAGATAACATAGTCCAGAATCAAATAATACAGCATTAAATTCTGAAAAAAAAAAAAAAAAAGAAGTGACATAGAAATAAGCAAGACTAAGTAAGTAGTATTTCATAGGACACTACAGTAAATAAATTGTTTTTACCAGCTCGGGAAAACACTTAACTTTAAGATAAGTTTGAAAACCCAGCTGAAGAAATGCATTTCAGAACAGATACATACATATACTTTCTGAACTGCATTTATACTTCTGTCGTTTTTCTGAATGTGCCATGAACCTTCATTCATATGGAATGGCCAACGTATTCTCTCAGACTGTTCCACAATATCCAGTTTGTGTCCTCATCCTTTTCTGCAATACCTAGTGAGCATACTCACTGCTCAACTCTTGTTGAATAGTTTATACTGTAAGCTTTCAGGAGAAGGTAGCATCCTTTTTTTTTTTTTTTGGCATGACAACAATTTGCAATAGGTTGCTGGTCCAAGACTAACACTACACAGATTAAATCCAATATAGTATCTTGCATGTTAGGTATGTCACTGCTCCAGAAATGAATTATAAGGATGATAACAAATAATTATATACTCTAAACTTTGAAAATGTTTATTTGGTCACAGGCATATACTTAACAATTGCAAAATGGTTCTCAGATTTGTAATAAAAAGACCATTGCTAAATGCATGTATTATACTTAGAGTTGTCACCAGTGCACTCCTCAGACAAATTTTGATATGGTAACACCAAAGGCTGAGAAACCATACTTTTTCCATGTGATGAAGGAAAACCTCTCAAAAGAGGCACAAAAATCTATTTGGAGTTGTGACTGGAATGTTACATGGCTAGACATTACACTGCACATAAAGAAAGTTCAAAAGCAGTCACACATCCTACCTCCCTGAAGCTATGTGCTTGTCTTCTACTCAGCATTACTGTAGAATAACAACTTTTAAGTAGAGTTTGTGAAGAAAGTTTCAAGAAATTAAGTTAAGCATAACCAAAGCAAAGAAAGCTTCAGAATCTCTATAGATGCAGTTAATAAATTACTACAAAGTAACAAAATACAGCAATTGAACAGCAATCACATGCCTACTGACCGGAAAACAAAAGTGAGGAAAAGCTAACAGATGTCCATTTGTCTATTAGCTCTCTTACAAAAAGGAGTCACTTTACTTACACTAATCATTTCACGCATTGTTGTTGTTTTGGGGGCTTCCAGTCCTGGTCTTCCTAGCCTGTAAACTCTTTTCACTGTATTCAGGACATCTCAAACCCTCTCTTGCAGAGCTAGCATTTCCTAGCCTGTCTACTGTGGCTGAGGGATTCTCTCTCACTTATTCTGTTCAGTCACTTGCTGTCGGCTTGTCCTGCTTTTTCAGAAGTCCACTTAACCTAGTCCTCTTTGAACACGGCAACACCCTTTCACCTTTGTCTTCTCCCCTGCTATACAGGTAAGAGGCAAAAGGATGTGTAGGCCTGCTCCCTAAGCTCGGCACAGCTGGCTGGGCAGGAACAGCTTTGTCCCAAAGTTGCCTAAACCAAACATATAAGGCTGGGGGCGGGGGTCTTTCCCCAACCATTATCGACCAGTTCTGAGGAAAAAAAAAAAAAAAAAGCCTCATTTGTCAACACCTACTTCTTCCTTAGGTTTTCATCTGCCCCCAAAACTCCAGAATCTTAAGAGAACAAAATAAAATATAGTTTATTTCATCCTCAGTCTTCTTTGGAAGAGTAGTTAAAACCAGCACTTTGTCTAAATTTTATTCTTATTCAGGCAACTGAGCTAAAAGCCATAAGGCGCTGATGCTTCAAACCTTAAAACAATTTGGCAACCACACTGTTTATCGATGAACTGTTAATTTGTCACTCCTCACCACCACTGGCAAATCTACCTCCCTGCCTTCATCCACCATGAAAAAAAATACCATACACTGGGGAGAAAAAAAAACCCAAGATATTGCAGGGTATCATGTGGTAGGAGTAAAGCATGAAGCAAGAAACAAGACTAAGTCAACTGAATTTGGAATTCAACTTCCTTGATTAAAATACAATCCTGATAGCAGAATATTATAATGTTGGTTTTATGGGGTTTTTTTCTTTTTCGTTTTTTTTTGTCCTCTTAGATTTCAGTGACCATGTCCAAGCCAAAATATTTTCGTAGGCAGGAAGCATTAGTTTGCTATTGACTCAAAGGAGAAAGTCAAGTAAGTTACCTAACTCCTTCCTCTAACAATTTGTAAAATACACAAAAGAAGTGACAGAACAATTAAAATTTATTAAAATTTAAAGTATCAAACCACAGTACTAGAAAAAAATTTTGTTTTCTGATTTAAACTCTACTTCAACTGATAATACTGAATGAAAAACAAATGATTGCCTCTCTCAACTGATCACAACGCATGGCTCTCTGAAAATGGCTCAACTCCACTATGGTAAGATATCTTGAGTACGTCAGAAGATAAGTCAGTTGAATAATGAGGGCAATCACTTATCGTGTGGACTAGAAAGCCCCTCTTGATAATTGCCTGCGTACCCTTTCATACATGCATACACAACACACCATTTGTAGAATCAAGTTTTCTCCATGAAATGCTAGCCCTGAGGTCTTAAAATTTCCTCTCCCAGCTCATCAAGTTCTAGCAAGTAGCCTAGTCCTATAACACAGTTAAAAATATATCTGTATAAAAGAGTAAATGTTTATATTGGATTTTTATATTAGTAGACTTGAACTTTTGCTTTGGTATTGAAAATTGACTCTAAAAATGTCAGTTCTTTGTTTTAGTTTTGGATTTTGGTTGCTGGCATTTATTGTCAGTTATACTTTCTGGTAAGTTTCTTGTCAAGTTTCTTGTCGCATTTTGCAAATTTTAAAAGTGTTTACATAATAATTGAAATTTGCTGTAAAAAAAGTCTTAAGCCTCAAGTTCACAGTAATATGTGAAGGAATTCAATATACCATCATTTAAGCACATAAGAAATAATTAGAAAGCCGTACCTGTTTACATGCTTGCCGACATTCCACAGCAATAGCTAGCTCACAGCAACCTAAACCAACCCAACCATCAGATTTCTTCAAAACTCCTTTAAAAATAAAATGACAGTACATATTATGGCACAGCTTCTCTTACTACTATCATTTTTTTTCCCCACCCAGTCAGTTACTCTTCAAATATGACAATCCCTGTTCTCCTTCAAGAAACCTATTTATAGGTTACACTGGCTTGGAATGATTTCATAAATTCCAGCAAAAACTTTAAGCAGGAAGCCCATGCCTTAATAAAAGTAGAACTTGGCAATTATGAAGCACCTTCTATACACTGAATTTAAAGGGTGGTTTTGTCAGGTTTTTGTTGTTGTTGTTGCTAAACAAACTACTTTACACATTCATTGGAAGTTTGATAATTTTATCTGGCTAATCCAAGGTATAAGTCAATACAAGCCACAAGGAAAAAAAACAATCATTACAGCATTATCTCCTACAGACATATTTTCTTGTAGGTTTCAACAGCACCATTTTTTAATCAAGTTCCTCAACACAGAATATGATATTTCTTGATTTTTTTTTTTTTTTCCAAACTTCCGCTGTAGTTTCTCTCACTGATTAACACATTTGGATATCCAGAACTATCTTCAGTAAGTCTCCTGTCTTCCTTTCTCTCTTTTTTCCACTTATTTCACTATACCCATTAGCCCCATTTCTTACTATAAAATCACATAGGAAAGAATTTTTGCAACAATTTGTTACATCTCTTCTCCACCCCCTCCCCAAAGCAGTCTACATTCACAAATATTTTCAAGATATCAGAAGTCAAACCAAAAAGAATGCATTCCTGTATCTATTTCACATGTAACCTTTAAGATAGAAATAATGAGAAGGAAGGTTTGATCTATGGAGCAGCCTAGCATCTCTAAGCCCATTTTAAAAACTGTTTTTTCCTTAGGAAAAAAAATGTTTAGCTCAAATGAACCATTCACTTTTGCTATGAAGTTTTTTTTTAATAAAACAATGTTTTAGGAAATATGCAAATTATATCCTTTAGCTAAGGGAAAAAAAGTCAGTAGTAGAAAACAAAAATAATCAACTTCTTAACTAAAAAAAAAAAAAATACTCAAAAGTCTAGTAGAAATACCTATTCTGAAAAGTCAAATGGGATGCCCAGCTTCAAAAAGAGAAAGTTGAAGAGCTGGGTGTTATAGACCAGCGAGCTTAAATTCAGTGCTAAGAAAATGCTGCAAAAACTAATCAGAAATTACTTGCAAGCAATGGAAAACAATAGCTAGTATGGATTTATCAATAAAAAAATTGCCTTTATAATAAAAATTGCCTTGTTGGCTTTGCAAACATTGATGGCATAGAAACGCCTTTGTCTATAGCCTTACCAGTATCAATCTCTCATGACATTTTAATAGGCAAATTAAAAAAAAAATAGTAAATTTACAAAGAGATAAAATGTTTTAGCTAAATTAACATAATTTTCAGCAATTTAAAACATTAATTAAAATTTTAGAAAGCAAATTAAAACATTACTGCTTGATACAAGCAGTGTGGCAGGATTGTGTGGTAGGGGTGAGGCAGAGAGGCAAAAGTGCAGAACAGCTTTTGGTTGCAACCTGCATTTTGCCAATTTTAAGCAGCTCTGTCTCATTTGAAGGGTCCAGACTTTCCAGAAGCCCTGCAGGCCAGCAATTCAACGATCTCTTTGAAGACTGTCCGAATCCTCCTCTTTTCTATTCAGAGTCTTGGCTCACCTTTCCAATACTAGTTAAGAGCAGATCTGAAGGCCACAAACAACTGCAAATTCACCTTACATTCCACTTCTGTAACTGGGGTAAGGAATTTGTTTTTCAGAGATTGAGCATCTCTCTGAAAGCATTCAAGAGATGGTTGTCATGCATAAATCAACAGTTGGTTATTAATGTTCAAAAATCCCAAGTTTGATGCATTTTTTTAAAACTAACTGCAGAAGTAAATAAGACATCAACATGGCCATCTTGCAGATATGTAAAAACACACATTTACAGTTAATTACAGAATCAGCTACCCAATACATTTTGTTTTAGGCCTAAAAATTATGAAACAGTTGTTTCTGCATAACTTTCGTATGTGGAGATATACGGAGACTCCTTTCAGTCAAAACAGTAATATTCAGCAAGATATTGACATTTTAAGGTTCTTTTAAAATACCAGCAAGCTAGTAAATATTAAACAAAGATCACTTGCCAATAAGAGAACAAAATTTCCACAACATTGTGTTGCAATAGCAGCTACATCCATGAGAAACACACAACAAATCTAGTTGTGCAGTTTTAGAGACAACATAAACTCACAACACTATCAAGCATCCATATTCTGTGCGAGACAGAGTCTCTCTTTTCCAAATGTACTTTTACTAGGACTCAACTCCAGAAGAATGAAGTAAATTTGTATTAAAATTTGGTGTAAAACCCAAAGCTACAAATACATGCTGTATTAAGAACACTGATGAGCTCCAGTCATAGTTAGTTGGGGTTTTTTTTGTTTTTTTTTTTTGGCAAGTGGTCCCCCTCCCCAAGATATTTCAGAGCACCACGCAAGCTTGTGGAGAAAAGATCGATGTCACCTCTACAGGAAAGACTGAACTGCAATTTCTGTACAATAGCTTATAATTTTGTGATCAAGGTAATTAAAATGCATTCATTTATAAACAAAATTACAGCTTCTATGTACATTGGATTGCAATCTGTAGTTTTGATTAACCAAATATTTATTTATCGAATACAATATCAAGTAGAACACAAATTGCTGAATTATAAAAGATTAGCTAGTTGCATGACATGGGCTCTTCTCCCCTAAATCCTCCCAGCAAAGTTTCCACAAGCCACAACACAGTGGTCAGATGGCTTACAACACACACACATTTTTCTTCCTTACTTTCCTACCATAAACATTTTACTATAATTTCCACAAGGGTATTACAAGATCAGAAACAGGGATGGAAAGCTGCACAAATATGAAAGATTAGAATGTGATCTCCAGTAATTTATTTTGTGATGAAAGAAGCAGTCTACATTATGAAAATATTTGAGAATTGCTGGATCACACTGACCTCCAGGAAGCTGGGAAAGAAAACAAAAAGGAAGATGGAAAGAGAGAGAAAACTGAAAAACAACTATGCTTATCTCTTTATCTTCAAATGTTGCACGCGTCAAGAAAGGTGCAAGAAAGCACAGGTCTGTGTTTTGCTAGGTTTCTCTGATAAAGTCTTCTACAGTCTGCTCGCAGAAAATGAAAAAGCTTAAAAGTGAACACAGTTACCATGTAGAATTACAGGTTGCTGGGTTCGTTTTTTTATTTTTTTAGCTGGGGCCCCTCGATCATATCACATGTTCATGGTCAGACAGAAACATTTTTAATTTCCCAGGTAACTCCCCCAAAATAATTCACGTTGTGTAGGCTTTTTAGATTTAATAAATATCAATAAATATTAGATTTTTAAAAAGAACTTCTCCATTAAAACATTCATTAGTATTTGCTTTCAGAAAATATGGAAGAATTTTTTTCCCAGAGAATATTTACATTCCTGAACATCTAGTATTAAGTATTTTAATGCTTACAACACTGTATTAGGTAGGACAATAAAACATAAATTAGAGTTATTTTGTGAGGGTGACCTCATAAAAGGAAATTATTAGCAGACCATCATGAAGGGTTTAAGGAAGTGAAAAAAGTGCATGTCGAGGGGAAGCTCATAGTGCTAGCTGCAAGTACATTGAGATTTTAAGGTGTAATAATTACAATAATGAAGTGACTGGCAAATCAGTTTTAAAAAACTTTAATATGCAATGGTTGCATCAAGTTACTGTGAGGAAAGAAGGGGAGAAAACACAAACCACAGTGAAAACACCCTAACGATGTATGTATGCATCAAGCAGCAAATCATAGGGAAGAGTTACAAGTGATTTAGCACACATAATTATGCAATTTAGCACACTTAATCCCATATGCGAAACAGGTTTCTATATGCATTCTTAAACAAACAGGCAGGCACGTGATACTGTTCAGAATGACAATAACCGTAAAAATCATCTGTCTATTCAGTCAGTCTCTGGAGATTGTCTAGTCCAACTGCCTTGCTCAAAGCGGGGTCAGCTAGAGTGGGCTGCTCAACACCATATTCAGTCGGATTTTGAATATCTCCAAGGATGGAGATTCCACAGCCTCTCTGGACAACCTGTTCCTGTTTTCAATCACTGTCACAGTATAAAAAAAGATTTTTAAGTTTAGATGGAGATTTCCTGTATTTTAATTTGTGCCTATTGCCTCTTCCTCTTTCACTGTATACCACCGAGAAGACTGTCTCTGTCTTCTTTACACCCTCCCACCAAATATTTATACACATGAATAAAATCCCCTCCAAGCTCTCTCTTCTCCAGGCTAAACAATCCCAGCTCCCTCAGCCTGTCTTCATGTGACAAATGCTCCAGTCCGTTAATCAGCTTAAAGACACATCTTAAAGCGGCCCTTTGCTGGATGCGCACTGGTATGTCTGATTTTCTTGTACTGGAGAGCCCGGAACCAGACGCAGAACTCCATATGTGGTCTTACCAGCGCTGAGCCTATGGAAGGTTCACTTCCTTTCACCTGCTGGCAATGCTCTTCCTAGTATGGCTCACTGTAGGCTGTTGGCCTTCTTTGCCCTGAGGGCACATTGCTGGCTCACTGCCAACTTGTCCACCAAGATTCCCATGGCTTTTTCTGCAAAGCTGCTTTCCAGCTGCTGGGCCCCTAGCATCGTCTGGTGCATGAGGTCGTTCCCAGGTACATGACTTTGGGCTTCCCTTTATCAGACTTCATGAGGTTCCTCTCTGCCCATTTCTCCAGCCTGTCAAGGTCACTCTAAATGGCAGCACAACCACTTTTTGTATTGGTCACTCCTCCTCGTTTTGTATCACCTGCAGACTTGTTGAGGGTGCACTCTATCCCATCATCTAAGTCATTAATGAAGATGTTAAACAGTACTGGATCCAATACTAGGTACACGCCTAGTGACTGGCCTCCAGCTGGACTTTGTGCCACTGATCACAACCCTCTGAGCCCAGCAGTTCAGGCAGTTTTCAATCCACCTCACTGTCCACTTATCTAGCCCATACTTCATAGTTTGCCTATGAGGATGTTATGGGTTACAGTGTCAAAAGCCTGGCTAAAGTTGAGATAAACAACAGCTGCTGCTCTCTCCTCATCCACCAAGCTAGTCATCTCATCACAGAAGGCTCTCAGGGTGTCAAGCACGATTTCCTCTTCATAAATCCACGCTGACTATTCCCGATCATCATCTTGTCCTTCACGTGCTTGGAAACGTTATCCAGGATGAGCTGCTCCATCAACTTTCCAGAGATGGAGGCGAGGCTGACTGGCCTGCCATTCCCCAGATTCTCCTTCCTGCCATCCCTGAAGACAGGAGTGACATTTGCTTTCTTCCAGTCCTCAAGAACCTCACCTGATTGCCGTAACCTTTCAAAGATTATTGAGAGTGACCTCACCAAGGCCAGCTCCCTCAGCAGACGTGGGTGCGTGCTCATGGACTTGCGTATGTTTAGTTTGTTTAAACATTCCCTAACCTGATCCTTCTCCACTGAGGGTAAGTCTTCCCCGCTCCAGACTTTCTCTCTGGTCTCAGGGGCCTCGGATTCCTGAAGGCCAGTCTTATCCATTAAGACTGAAGCAGCCGTTGCCTTTTCTATGCCTTTTGTCACTGAGTCCCCTGCTCCATTCAGCAGCAAGCCCACATTTTCCCTAGGTCTCCATTTGCTGCTGATGTACTTGCAGAAGTAGGGCAACTTTATTCTTGCCTTTCATTTTCCTTGTCAGATTCAACTTCAGATGAGCTTTGGCTTTCCTACCCCATACCTGCATGCTCGGACAGTTTCTCTTTACATTTCTCCTGGGTCATCTGTCCCTGCTGCCATATCTTGTATGGTTTTGTTTGTTTGTTTTAAGTTATCTTTTGACATTAGTCAGGAGTTCCTTTTCATCCTTGCAGGCCTCGGTGCCACCTCTGCTTGATTTCCTGCTCATTAGGATTAGCCATTCTTGAGCTGGGAGAGGTGAGCCTCGAAAAATCAATTAGCTCTCCTGGACCCCTCTTCTCTCCATGGCCATATGCCATGGGATTTTTCCATGCAAATCCCCAAACCAGCTGAAGTCTGCTCTCCTCAAGTCTAGCATGGTGATCCTGTTTTTTGCCTTGTTCCCTCCTCTTAGGATCCTGAATGCCATTATCTCATGCTTATTGCAGCCAGCGTTGCCCATGACCTTCACATCTCCTGCCAATTCTTCCTCGTTTGTAAGTATGAGGTCCAGCAGAGCGCCTCCCCTTGTTGGCTCTTCAGTCACCTCTGTTAGGAAGTTGTCATCAATGCACTCAGGAAACCTCCTGGATTGCCTGAGCCCTGCTGTGTTGTCCCACCAGCAGATAAAGGGATAATTAAAAAACCCCAGGAAGACGAGGGCTTGCACACATGATGCTTCATCAAGTTGTGTGAAGGTGGTTTCATCTAGTTCTTCCTGATAAGGCAGTCTGTATTAGACACCCACAACATGTTTGTCTGCCTGCTAATCCTAGCCGGTATGTTCTCAGCTAGATCATCCTCCATACCAATGCAGAGCTCCATTCCAGCATTCCGGCTTTTCTCTCACCTAAAGGGCGATTCCCTCTCCTTGCCTTCCTGGCCCGTTCTTCCTACGGAGCCTGTGTCCATCCACTGAAGAACTCCAAACGTGGGAACCTTCCCGCTATGTCTCTGTGACCCCATCGAGATTATAGCCCTCTAACTGCACACTAACTTCTAGCTCCTCCTGTTTGCTCCTCATGTTGCATGAATTAGTGTACAGGCACTTCAGGGAGGCATCCAACCATACTGATTTCCCAGAAAGGGAATGAGATCTTCCCCTATAATACTGTCCTGTAGGAACCACACCATTAACTTAAAATAAATAAATAAATAAATAAAATCTTGCAGGCCATGGAATCACTGGAGAATACTAAACAGAATTTTAAAAGCAGCTCACATCAAAGAGGAAATGTAACATAATTACATAATGTAATTTCACATGCAAGAAACAGCAGCTTCATGGGGTACATGGGAAGTTTCATAAGTTTCACGCAGGTACAAGGCTTAGGGTACTACAGGAAGATTTCACTTTTTGGGAGTGGTTCATTGACACAGATTTCCAATGGTTTTTTTGCTTGCTAACATAAACCTAAATTTTGAAATAAAAGATATATTTCTCTCTTGCAATAAAACCATCAACACTCATTTGTGAATAGCAGTTGAATTTCAAGAAAGATTAGGTATTACTTCCAATTAAAAATTTGTCAGCTTTTAGATGACAGCGAAAAGTATTGCAACTTCAAAAAATATCATAGGTCTTAGTAAAAATAGCAAAATCAGAACTACCAAATCCCTCTGTATGCACTGGATTCTACAGTTTGCCTCTGAAATGGAAAAAAAAAGTCAGAGTAGGTGATACAAAACTATTACACCACTCTTTCAAAACCTCACTACCACTTTTTCAACTATACCATGCTAATTTCACTCAGTCTTTCAGAACAGATACATGATACCGTGGTACCAGTTAAGTCCTATTTCCTCTACTACTTTAATCTCTTTTTAATATAACAATCCTCTTTAGAAATTCATTTTTCAACCTTCTAAACCCACCTGTAACAAGCAGTTTAGTTCTTTATCTGAGGTCTTTGGTATTTCTCTAATACATCACAGAAGCACATATATTAATTACACAAACAGATCCAATAACTTCTAACTAGGAAAACAAAGCAAGTTTTGCAATAAAAAAATACATAGGTAACCCAGTTAGGATTAAAAGAAACAAGCAAACAAAACGTAGTTCATAATGAAAGCATTATTTTGAAATTTGTAGGTGAGGGTGGTAGACAGAATATAAAAATATGTATTTGCTACAAAAAACCAATCTGATTCAACAATGAACTAGTATATCTTACCTGGCAAAGAAGAATTGATACAACCCCAAACTTCTCCCTGAAAAGTAAAACGCAATTAAGCAAAAGTAAGTTTACGAAATAAAATAAAATTGTTTCTAACAGATACCAAATACCATTTTCAACATATTCGCCCTAGAGTTTAAGTATCCTATTGGAAGAACTCTTCTACATCTAAAGTATTTTTTGAGGAAGCACCAGGTCATCTAAGTTAAGTAATAATACGTGCCTTGACAAAGTTGCCATCTACAGAATATCTAATCAATAGCAGCATTTTTACAAGTATAAAACATACTGTAAGCACTTGGACTATGCTAGCTAGTCAACTTTTTTCACTGCTATTTAGAAAATTAAGTAACAATGTCTTAGCCAAAGAGACAGGTTTATCTAGGACCAAGACCTGGGGAGAAGCTTGTTGTCCTAGCACTCTTTTCTACCAATTACAAACAAGCAAATAAACAAGCTCCCACAACACACTAAACAAGATAGACGGGCTTTAAGGCACTCCAGAGATAGGTAGGACAGGTAAATGTAAGAGGGAAGTCTTATTACCAGGAAAGGTTAAAATATAGATCTAGTAAATTTTTTTTTTTTTTTTTTTTTGTCCTGAAGCAGTCCTGGTTCTAGGCACAGGGCCTGCTGAATGACAGAAGATACAAGTGGCTGATCGTATAAGGCAGAAAAATTTCTTCGAAGGTGTTTTTTTGTGGCAGGAAAAAAAAAGATGAAGCACTTAAAGAGTTGTTCTTCCCCCCTCCCCAATTACTAATATCACCAAGACGACTAGGCAAGGTGACTAGGGAGGACTGTATGAACTGTGGCTAGTACAAAAGAACTCTCAGGTCAGACCCAGGTCTGCCACAGTTAGCTCTGATACTAACACAACAGAATTTACAAATATCCTGGAAGAAAGATGTTTAGGCAAAAGAAAAAGAATTCAATTCAAGGTAAGAATTTTAGTTTAACTGTCAGAAACAAGTACATATCACAGTTACAGGGGCTGCACTATGTTAGAAAGCTGAAAAATTAAAAGCTATGGGAGTTTCTGTACACTATATGCTAGATGCCCAATGTCCTACAACTGGAGACTTACAAACACTTAGACAATATGACCATATCATAGTATTGAAAAATGACACAAGTACATTTATTCTAATATGATGTTATTGATACTTTTAAGCAAGTACTAGGAATAAACCTTAGTATGGTGAAAGCAAAGGAAAATTCTGCAGAATAGGAAAGCGAGTGCCACGTCTTAAGGGGCTTTAAGTGAAAGAACGTTAAACATGTTCATGAGGGTTCTATTCAACAGCACTGAAAGTGCATGACAACACAGGAGACTGATTCCCTCATCACAGGAATTACTGACTTTTCAAAGTTAAAACATACCCATGTCTAACGATCTAAAACAATCCTCCTCCATTATCTGGGGAAGTTTCCCACCTCAAGTTAGAGCCAAAGCCAGTTTAAAAGAGGAGGCCAGTTCTATAAAAGCTGCTATTTCTACTAGTTCCACTCCACTGATTCCAGCTACTTCCTTTATTTCATAAAAAGGTAAGTCATCTTTTGTTTTTGACAGTAACTATATTATGTAATACCAGACAAAACCCTTTCTATCACATTACCCGAAAGAATATAGAGAGCTCAACATCTGTAACCAGTGCCCCAGAACACACAGACCATCAGATTAAATATATAACCTATCCGCTCTTCTGTGCGATGTCACTAGCACATCCCTTCAACCTTTCCTGGAAAATCAATAAAGAAGGGCAGTATTTGAAAATAGAGAATATGGCACTAAGTTGAACTGTTAAATATTTTAAAAAGACATCTAGATATAAAAAATTTATAAATAAATGAATATTGCTGAAATAGTAGTAAGAGACATACTGGACAGCAAACTTACCATTTATAAATATGGTAATTGGGAGTTAAAAAAGTAATATTACATTAATCATACTTCCCCTTTCAGATTCTCAACCCCATGTTCTAAAAATGCATTCCTCTACTATAGAGATTAATCCTACTGTCCCTGTTAGAGGATAAAGGTAAGGACCAGGACAAAAAAATAGTACCAAAACAAACGTTATCCACCACTTCAATACGTTTTTCACATCACAGCTTTTACTTATACCAGCAACAACCTCTAAGTTACCAACATCTTAGAGCTGATGCTCCACACAAGCAAAACACAGGAAAAAAAGTGCTTTTGAAACACAGGAGGAAAGGATCTATAAGCAAACACACTCTTGCAAAGCAGCCCATAAAATGTTACATTCTGAGATTTACAGCCCCTTCATATTGCCCATCTGGACTGAGTATATGTTTCTAGTCTTGCTGGAAATAGTACTGATAGTGTCCAGAAGTAATAAAAATTAAAAGAAAGAAATCAGACTTTTCTAACAGTAAATGTGTTAAAGATTCTGAGTTGCCAAGATTGAAGACTCTAGAATTAACAATCTAAATGCCAGTGGTTATCTCTTCCTCAATTAGATGATCCCCAAAATAGGGTGCAAATTATATTCTTTGTTTTTCTAGTAATATACTGAAGAACTTTTAGGAAATCATAGACTTTCTTACCCAATAAAAGCATTACTTCCACTTGTCGGATATGGCCATATGTTCAGAGCAACCACGAGGCTCTCCTTGCCTTAGCCCCACCAGAATCTGTCAGCCTTTTCCCATACACACACTGGAATACTAAGTTAGCTCAATCAGGCAGCTGCCAGCAACCTCCAGGGGACTAAGCAACAATCACCCAATGCAAAATTCTTTACAATGTTAAGCCACGTTTTCACTCATTTTGTAACAACATGCATGACCAAGACATCTAGCAAAGCTGTCAAGTCCAATCTTACTGCAAGTAGTGTAACATATGACATTCTAAAGACAAACAAAAAAACCCAAAATCTTACCTTGGGGATCAACTAATCATATGAAAACCTCATTTTAAGAAGTTTTGTAGCCCTCAAAATAAGAAAGAAAAAGCTTGAAGACACATACACAGGCTCTACCAGCTCAAAACTCAAAGCAAATCAAATAACCATGAATCATTTTTAAATCTTATTTTTGTAAGAAAAATGTTATTAATATCAGATTAGAGTTTTGTTTTTTTTTTTTAAATTACAGTTAGCAAGCCTTACCATTGATTCTGGACAATACTCGGGTGCTCGTTGCAGCAAGTGCTTCAAACGGGAATCACTCTTAGAAGACAAAATCTTTTATAACAGAAACAGAACACATTTTAAAACATACAGAAAGACATAACAGTTCATTTAATACTTTTTTTTTTCAATTTATTTCCTCCTTTTTAACTTTGATTTCAGTTCCCTTTGACAACTCTGGGCAATAGCTAATGTGTACAACCTGCAAAATTAAAATTTTCCTTTATAAATATGCTGCATTCTTTATTGAGAAAAAGAGGTTTTTATTTTTTTAGAAGTGAACGAGAATTTCATCCTCAAAAATTTCATTCCAAAAGTTTCTACTGAACAAGTTGTGTGGAAAAAACACAAAAACAGAGCATTTCTGTCCCATGTATCAAAATATTATGCAACTCTACCCAATTAACTTGCTGTTACATTTTAATTACCTGATCTCATGCAACTAAGCTCCTTCCAAAAACCTAGAACACTAACTGACGTGGAATAAACATTAACAAAACACCCAGATTAGGTAAAGAGGCTATCAAAACTGACAGGGAAGTGAATAACGCCTGCAGGAAAGCAAGATCAAGTTAAGGACTATCTAAGTGAACCGAACGTACACAAGTTCATGGGACTGGATGGGAGGCAAGTGAAGGTGCTGACAGAGCCAGCCAATGTCACTGTAAGGCAGGTTGCTATCATTTTTGAAAGGTCATGGTGATTGGAAGAGATTCCTGACGACTGAAAAAAGACAAACATCATATCCATCTAGAAGGACGAGAAGGATAATCTGGGGAATTACCGGCCACTCAGCCTACCCTCAGTCCCCAGCAAGAGTATAGAGCAAATCCTCCTGGAAGCCATGTCAGGGCACATGAAAGTTAAGAAGGTGACTGGGAACAGCCAGCATGGGTAAACCAATTCACTTATTCAGAAAAGAGAGCAAGTAAAGAACAACTAGAGTAGTATTTTGGCGTCTTCCAGGGTAACTGAATCATAAAATAATTCAGGTTGGAATGAATTTTAGGTCATCTAGTCCAACCTCCTGCTCAAGCAGGTCAACTACGAGGTCAGACCACGTTGCTCAAGATTTTATCCAGTCAGGTCTTGAAAACCTGAGGATGGAGACTGCCAGGGCACGCTGTTGGCTCATATTCTGCTTGCTGTCGGCATATCCCCTAGGTACTTTTTAGCAGAGCTGCTCACCAGCCCATCAATCCCCAATCTCTATTGTTGCAAGGGGTTCTTTCTTCCCAAGTGCAGGACTTGGCACTGAATTTTGTAAGGTTCCTGATGGTCCATTTCTCTGTCCTTCCCTCTGTCTCGGTGGCACCTCTGCCTGAGATTATCAGCTGTTCCTCCTCGTTTGGTGCCACCCGCAAACTCGATGAGAGTGCAGTTTGTTGCCTTCTCCAGATCACTGATAAAGATGTAAAACAGGACAGGTCCCAGGATAGACCCCTGATATACTCCACTTTCTACTGGCCTGCAAGTGGAGTACAAACCATTAGCCTCGCGGAGCCTGATCATCAAACAGATTTTTTACCCATCTAGCTGTCTATCCTATCGAAATCATAATATCCTAAAATGGATACTAAAATACTGTGGGAGAGGGGGTCAAAAACCTTGCTAAAGTCAAAGTAAATCACATCCACTGCTTCCCTCTCATCCAGAAATTCAGTCATCAAAGGCATTCAGGGTGGTCAGGCATGATTTACCTTTCACATGCCCAAAAAAGCGTTCCAGCAGGACTCACTCCATGATTTCCTCAGGGACTTAACAGAAGCTGACTGGCCTGTAGTTTCCCAGATCTGGTCTTTTTCTGAAGATGGGTACAACATTCACTTTCCTCATTGGGAAAAGTCATTGGGGACTTCCCTCAAGGTGCACAACCTTTCAAAGATGATCAAGAGCAGCCTTGCAATGACATCAGGCAGCTCTCTCAGCACCCTCAGATGCAGCCTATCTGATCTCAAGCAGTTGCATGGGTCAAATTTTCTCAAGAGATCCCTGACTCAGTCCTCATCCATTGCTGGTAGTTCTCCTTCCTGAATCCTTTCTCTATGAACAGAGGCCTGGGACACCTTGTTGGTGAAGACGGAGGTAAAGAATACACGCAGCACTTCTGCCTTAGCTGTGTTTGCTGACACTTAATCACCCACCCCATTCAGCAACTGTCCCACATTTTCCTTGTTCAGCCTTCAACTACTGCTGTAGTGGGCAGGTGGTGGTCTTGTTGCCCTTGAAATCCTTTGCAAGTCTCAACTGGGGTTGAGTTTTGGCTTTCCTAACATCACCCTTACCTGACTAGAGTTTTGCCTTTCCTTACATCACACTTACACGACTGGACAATGTTTATAAATTCCTCCTTTGTTACCTTTCCCTGCTTCTACCACCTGTATACTGCCTTTCTGAATTGAAGCACAGTCATGACTGGCCTGTTTAACTAAGCCTGTCTCTTGATATATCTACTTGCTTTCCTGAGGCTCAGGATGGACTGTTCCTACGCTTGGAAGAGGATCTGGACAGAGACCTCTGGAATGGTACAGAAATGAATGCTACTGGGAACAGTATCATTGTGAACTGTCCCAGAAATACAGTTAGGTAAGAAGTCCATTAAAGAAAGACAAGCCCGTTTGTTCCTTGCTGTAGTATGTGATAGACAAGCTATCACTAAATGAAGGAGATACTAAAACTAAGTTTGGACTAATACTCACTAAGACTACCAAAAGAATTAGATGTTTGAACTATAAGATTAGTTGAAGAAGGAACAAATAAATCTAATCTAGTTTTTTTTTTTTTCTCCAGAAGTCTCACTTAAAGTAGTTGAATTACTAGTTAACAGGATATCCTGGCCTTATTCAGGCCTTCTTAAATGACAGGATTGAGGAGAACCCTGCCTGCTCTCCTGTGCCCTTCACCCTAACTCCCAGGGACTGTAGCTGCCCTTCACCCACTCAAGGGCTCCTTCAGCAGTATCAGAGGTACCTATGTAGATGAGCAGCCAAGGAGTAACGCTCAAAGCTAAGCAAATCTGGCAACCTCTACAGCGTCCTAGATCTGAGGCCCTAAACAATAAACCTCCTGAGACTGCAAGTCTAGTCAGCAGATGAGTGCCTCCATCCGCTGCAGAAGGGAGTCTCTGAATACTGTCACTGATGACACTGTTTGTAACATGTGGATTAGGCTCAGATGGCTCCCCAGGGGAGCTTATTCCTCTTCACCTGTTCTAGGGCCCTAGATCTATTTTGCAAGTGCACATCCAAAGACAGGAAAAGAGCCTTCTTCCTGTTGCCAGAAGTCACAAACTTCCAGTCTCCACTTGCTCAAGGACAGACTCTGGCCATCCTTCTTTCCAGGCAATGCATGGTTCAGGCTGTTACCCCAGCAGGACTCCACAAAGAGCCTAACTCCCATCCATGTTCTCTGAGGCAACGCTTCCTTCCTCAGCTCCTTTATCTAGCAGTTCAGGAAGGTGACCAGAGCACGATTCCTTCAACTTAGGTACCACTGTCCCCAGCCTTAAGGAGACACACCAGGCATTCCCTGCAGCACAAGACTTAAACAGTCACATTTTTGCTCAAGAAATCCATTTGGGTCAAGGCCTCCAACACGTCATGAGCACCAGAGACTGTCCTGCAGCATGTAACAGGTCCAGTTTCAGGCAGCACTTCCTGTTTGCCCTCTCTACAAGAAACTGCTACGTTAACTGCCAAATTCCTGTCCATGCACCCTACCTGTACGGCATTCCCTAGGTATTAGTTAAAGAGAAATACTAGGCACAAGCCCGCTTCTCTTCAACCCTCTGTCTGGCAAGCAACTTCTCACAACGTTCTACGGCTCAACTAACAAGTCCAGGAGGAAAGGGCTTTTTAAAAAAATAAATCTTAGGTGATACGATGTGACAAGGCAACAAGCGCATGGCAAATATTTCAGACAAGGGGTTTGGAAAGATGAAAGAAAGGCAAATTATTCAGCCAACTCATTCCCCTTACCATCGCTCTCCCACCTACGTAAAACTTTATCCTACAAATTTTAATTTTAAAATAAAAGGGCACTTATCAAATGATACATTCCAAGATGGATTCAAAAAAGAGAACTTGGACTTAAACATCTGAAATTGTGCTGCATAAAGTGGTTAAGCTACAGAACATGAAAATTAGTAGAAACGTAGCAGATATTCCCTTCACCTTGTTTTCTGGGCAATATCAAAGGGTCACTCGTAAAAGGATACTGCCTGAACCGAGGTAAGACAGAGAGCTGCTTATAGAACAATTTGGGGATGCCTCTCTTGCTTTAGACTTGCTCTAGACTTTTCACCACCACAATTCTGAATTATGCTCATTGTCCGAGTAGAGATGTACCATTCAGATGAGACAAAATCAGAATATCTTACCAAAAAAAACCACAGAAAACCCTAGAATGAGAATTGGTATAATGGAAATAGGATGAAATCTGCCAGTATAAAGCTCAATGCCTTTCATTCAGATCTAAAAGAAATTCATATGAAAAATTGGGAACTGCAAACAGATAGAAATAGATGAAAGATTTGGACAGATTGTTCCAAATGCCAACCAAACGCAGCTACAATGCCTGCAATTAAATTTGATTATATGTGGGACTGTGCACTCTCTTTCTTGTACATAAATTTCAATATAGTTCTTAAAACTGGGTGGTATTTTTGTTTATACAAAAATTTATGTATAGTTTTGCTTACCTGTATTCAAAGGGATAAATTTACGCTGAAAGGGCTGCAGGAATAACTCCAGGAATTGAGAGTATCTTACATAAGGGGGCTAAAAGACTTTTTCTTGTTTGACTTCACAGTCAGAAAGCTGAAAGGGAATTTGGTTGTACTCTACCAATACATCAGGGAGGGAAAAAAGAGAATTTAAACTAAAAGATTTTGTTAGTGTAGTCACAAATAAATATAAGCTTAATCATAACCAGGTTAAGTGCTTGAATAGCTCCAAAACATATAACGAGGACAAGAAAGGGGAGCAGGTATGATTCAAGGACACAATTCTAACATAAAAATTGTATGTCAGTAAAGCATATATACCCACATACAGATTTACATAAAGCTGGACAAGGTATTACTCAAAGGTACAAATCTAAACATAAGTTGTGGAAAAACATTTTCCAAGCTTGAGTTTAGCACAAACAGTTCTTTGTATTACCCTATGAATAAAATAAACAAATTTTTGCTGGACTCATAACGATATATATTATAACGAGTATCTTAGTTTCTCAGCTAAGAAAGAAGAACAGGCAGATAAAGAACAGTATAAATTTTTGCTCTTCATTTTAAATTCACAAAAACCTGGAAACACACATGATCTAGAAATTGTGCAGAATATTCACCCCCTCCATTTTCCTAACATGCTTAATAATTCTTGATCAAATCCTGACCTCAAATTTGGATCTCTAGTTCTGCTCAACTTAAACAGAATCTGTATTCCACTACAAAAGGGAAGAGGACTACAGTTCTAAAGCTTTAAATTCTCATTTAAATAACAATAAGTTTCATAATATTCAGTATTCTCACATTCATAATCGTTTACCCACAGCCCTAATCTTCCCACATCATTGTCTACAGGCATGATTTCAATGCTGAGGGATAAAGCAAATTTCAAATAAGCTTACCTGTTCACAAACATCACGACACATTAAGTTGTCCTTTGCATGGTAACAACAAGATGAGCCTATGGAAGAGTGGGGGGAGGGGGAAATACGTTTAAAACATTTGAAGCACTTAACTATCCCTTCTGAATGGAAGGGCCCAACTGATGGCCCATCAGGACAATTTATCTGGTCCACAGCTCACTGTGAGAAACCTCGCTTCCCAGAAAGCAAAAAAGAACATCGGAAGTCTTTGTTCTGAAGCAAACTCCGACCAGCTCGCCCAGCCTCACAGAACCGCACCTGAACTTTCATTGCCACCTCCAGGAGATCTCAGTGGCCTTCCCTGTGCTTACAGCCAAGCTTCTGCTTGGTAAATACCTTGCACTTCGCTTGGCACCTGCCAAATCCCTTCATGAGGCAATGCAATTTATTAACCCAGGAAAAAACAAAAGTGAATAAAACGGTATAAAAAAAGAAAAGAAAATAAATTATATGTCTTTACAAGTTGAAGTAGTTCACAGAAGAATCTGAAAAGTGGAAGAAGCAATTAGGAACAATGGGAAAAGAAAATGGGAGCAGGAGCCCCATTATACACGGTGATGAAGACAGCTGCAGATTGAACCCTGTCTTCTTAAAGGGTTAGGGCAGATCTCCAAACTACTTCACTAGCAACGGATGATTAAGAGAAGTTCTGCTAGTCTAGATGAAAGGTACAGGACAAACACAGATATGAACACAACAGGAAAACAAATGACAACTGAAGCACTGGGAATTTATGAAGCACCAGGATTTAAAGCTGCAATTAAAAAAAAAAAAAAAAAGTGTTATGCTTTCTTCTCCCTACCACCCGAATAATATTTTCTTCATTCAGAGTTCAGTTTGGCCAATATAAAATGAATTGTACAACTGCTTGATATTCATTTTCATCCTCATTGCCTAGCGTTTGGAACTTTGCTTAACAAACGTCTTAGGAAGAAAGATTTCACAGCTCCTTTCACTTCTAAGCACATCTTCACATACAACATTCTATACAAATATGTACATTAGAGTATGTAACCCCCGTCCAAAACCCCAAACTTTTAATGATTACATATTTTTACTCAACTGTATCTGAACTAAATACCACACCAGTTTAACATAAAAGAAAAACCTGTGCAATGGAACTACATATAGAAAGTGATATTTCATGATACCTAGTTACCAGACCTAAATGGATTTTCACTGAATCAACAAGAGGTATTTTAGGCAAGATTTCCTCAATAAATTCAGAGCTTATATCTGTTATCATCTGAAGCTTATAGCTGTTACAGAAAAGTAGCCAGTTTAAAAAAAACAAAACAAAAAAAACCCAAAAACCTACCACCACCAAAGCCAAAATTCTATAATATTACACTGACATAAAATAACCCTAGACTATTTAAGCCTGAAAATGTTAAGGAACTGGAAAGAAATAAAAAAGAGAAAAGTTGTCTGAAACATAGTCAGTCACAATTTAAAATGGCTACTACAGGTTCAAGCTATATTTTTCTGTAAAAATAATTCCTGAATTCCTGAAGAGGAAAGAGGAAAAATTAAAGCAGAGCATGTAACTGGTGAATATTTTCATTAATAGAAACAAAGGCAAATGCTTATAAGCAGCAAAGACAGCAGTAAAATCCTGCTTACAACACAACAGAATGAAAGAATGGAATTATAAGATTGACTTTGATGGTTTTGCCGTTTTCCTACCATCACAAAAAGAGATAAACAGATGTGGCTGATGGCTTCAGAAACCTTCTGATTTGAGGACAACCCATAGGACCTTCAGATTTCCCTGCGCTAAATTCATCAAGCAGATTCATGCCAAGAACCAGCCTCACCATAAACAGGTTCCACCATATTGAAAATTCAGTAACTATTTCACTTAGCCAAATAGCTTTCTTATTCCCATTATAAAGCTACCCTATAAGAAATTTACAACGATAAAAGCCTCTACAAGTATAATTACATACGCGATTATGATCTGAGTTCATGAACGTCCTAGACAACTTCCACTTAAAACCTTCACACAGATTATAAAATAATCTCTGGCCCACTGACCCCCAGTTTTCAGTGATTCTCAACCCTCCTATGATCAACTAACATACCAGGAGGATAATTCTTCTTCTCTATCACTTCCACTGCCAAATTTCAAGTCCTACCAATTATACTAAAGAGCGCCACAATGAGATAACAACACGCTAAACCTCGTGGTCATTCCATTCCTTTTATATAAAATCCTAATTAAGTGATGGTATCTTGAATTAGCAGGAAGTTTAGCTAGCCTATACTGAGCTTTAGTGCTACAGTCATAAATGGAAGTTATTAGTAACATCCATCGCAAGCATGATTCTTGAATTCTCCCTCAGTCAATCTCTTCTGAAACAACCTTATGACATCTCTTTCTTACCTCCTTATTCACACATTCTCTAGAGCACTACAGAGCCACACTGACATGCCCATAAATGTCCTGATGACTGCAGGCTCCTGCTTTTGGTATTCCATATTTTTCATTCATATGACAGCATTGCCAGTGTGATCAATTTATTAAAAATCTACTTGCCACTATGTTTGTGGTGCCTTCTAATTACTGTTTTTCAGTACTGGCAGGACATTAATTGATATCACAACTTTAACATGGAAAACTATATTTTATCACCACACTTCTCTATATTAAAGCTCTGACCTTCACTTTTTTTTTTTTAATCCAATACTATTTTCCTTACGGAAAACCTGAGCAAAATTATTTAAGAACTGTTCATTTTATTTTTTTTATTTTTATTTTTTTCCACACACCTAACCTCTACTCACAACTCCCTTTTCTCTGGGCATCTGGCAGCGGTAACCGTAACCCCGAACTTCCCGGTCTCTAAAACAACGTTTTTCCTGAAGCCCTCCAAACCTCGCCCAGGGCTCACGGACTTGCAACGTCCTTTCCAGCTCCCCTCGGCCCGAGCAGGCTCTCCTCGCTCACCAGCGCGGTGCTGAAACACACGGACTGCCCTAGCACTTCCGACCGTAACCCAGACGACAGGTTTTTCCTTCCTTCCCCATCTCAAACCGCAGCCTTGAAGATTTACCCGTTCCCGGGGCGAGGGCACGCCGCCGGCCCCTCGCCCTAAAAACAAGCTCCTTCTCCTCCCGCGGGGCTCGGCCGGGGGCTTTCGCGAGGGCCAGGACGGGGCAGCAGCGGCGGCCGGAGGAAGGACGCCGCCCCGCTGCCG